CGTGAATGCTTTAACCACTAGGCTACCCCACCATCCCATGATACCCTGTATGAGCAAATCCCATTTGTGGCACTCCCTTGCAGGAGTCTGCAGGAGTGTTGACTGTTGTTAAAAGGGGTGGAGGTGAGGTGAGGTGAGGTGAGGTGAAATTGGGTTTAACGTCGTGCTTGAGAATATTTCGCTCATATGACGACGTGCATGTGTGTGTATGTGTATGTGCGGCTGCTTGTACTAGCCCAGACTTAAGCTGGTTTTATAGTGCTAGCCCACTGAGATACCATGCCACAGTGAAGCATGAATACCCCACTCAGTCACATTATACTGACTCCGAGCCGACCAGTCCTTGTTGTACCCATAAATGCCGAGCGCCAGGCAGGGACCAACAAGTACCATAATCTTTTGGTATGACGCGGTCGGGGATCAAACCCGCGACCTTCCACTCTCCGGGCGGACGCTCTAACCACTACACCACGGAGGCGGTCTAAAAGGGGTGGAAGATTTCTAGACTGCACTGCCTCCATAGTGGAATGAGTAATGTCTGCCCAGAAATGGGAACGTTGGTGGTTTGAGTGAGTGAGTTAGTGAATTTAGTTTTACACCTGTTTGTTTGATACCTGGTGTCATGCAAAAGATTAAAAGAAGGTAAATAGAAATATTTTCAGGAAACAGTTTGCATTTGTTCTCTGGATTTAATATAATGTTGCTGAACAAACTATGACAATGATTTGGTTTTGTCTTTTATACATCATGATAAGTATGCTTATTTGAGTACTCTGCTCTACTCTACTAGTCAGGTGAGCCACAGGTGTTTGGCTATGACATGTAGTTGTCATGGTATATTCCTTGTCAAGGCTGTGGATCACTTGTGACCAGTAGCCTGTGAAACATAACATACACCATTCATAGTATGTTACTTCACTGATCAACAGATGAGCTGTAAAAACAAACAAAATGAAAATGACTCAAAGTAAATCCCTGTGGCTTTTAACTTTCCAATAATGCAAACGGCATTTATGACTCTATTCTCAGTCTGTGAAGCCTCGTGTCGGGGGATGTATATAACATGGTTTTCATTCCCACGACACGGGCAGTCAAACAGACCAGACACTTTGTCCTGGTAGCTTCTCAGGCATATAACCTTGAGTGACAAAACTTGAAGATCTCACCAGTAGACAAGGGTGAGGGATTGCCAACGTGCAAGCTGAACTAATGTTTCTGGATGATAGTCGCAGCAAAGTAGTGTCAGAGTAAATATGGCTTGAAGAGACGTGCTAGTTGTCCTCACATGGCAAGCAAAGATAGGTAAGTAGGTGACTATTTCTTCAATATAATCTGTGGAGACAAAATTGTTTAAAGTACTAGTAATATGGCTTCAGAGAGTGATCATCACATGGCTGAAAACAGATAGTAAATTAGGATGGTCTGATTTTGTTTATCTTTTGTCTCTAAATCCTTGAAACGGCACCATAATGGTGTTAATTAAATAAGCTGAAGTGTTGTCGTTACATGGCTGAGAAAGATAGTCAAGTAGGATGATCTTTTTTTGTCAAAGTCTTCTAGGTCTCAAAATCCATGAATTGGTGACTCATTTGTTTAACTTCCAGACTGATCAGAATAATTGATTTCTTTGTGTTCAGAAATCATATGGAATATACGTGTTTGACAGGAATAAGCATAGTTTAGATTGATAACTGTATTGTCAATGACTGTTAGAGAAAAAGGTACTGCTTAACTCTGGGAAAGTTCATGCAGAGGTGGATCATGGGGTTTGGGTTGAGGGTGCACTTGAAACCAACACATAGTGACAGTCTAACACAGGTTGACATTGTTCCCAGTGATTGCAAATTGAAACTTGAAGATTTGAGTTTGCACTGAATTAAATTGTGAAACCAGCCAACCTTCTAGAAACTATTACTTCGTGAAACTTCTTAAATGATCAAGGCTGTTCTGCTTGTTTACAACAAGGGGAGGTAATTCTAAGTAACACAAAAATACCACTGAAAAGTGACCAGTAACAACACATTTCATGTATATATATGAATTCTTCATTTGTTTCTACTCCCCATCACTACAACAAAATCTATTGACACACAACAATATAAAGTGTTCAAAAAGGGGATGAAGGCTTGATTTGTGCATAATTTCCTTGTCATGTAATGACATGCTCCTTTCTGGAAAGACTTGAGTTCGTGTAAAGATTTGTGTTTCTGTCAATGGGCATATGTTGACAGGGGATCTAGCTCAGAAATAAGGTGAAGGAAATGTTGAGTACATACTTCTTTAGTTGGTTAGGAAGCGTTCATAATTGGTGGCAAAGGGTGATGATGATAGTTATCAGAAGCATGTGCAATGTGAATGACACCAACCACACACACACACACACACCTCCCCACCCCTGTTGCATATCATGTACAAAATTTGGCGCCCCTCCCTGTTACTTTTAAGTATAATTTTTGAATATTTTTGTGTAATGCGTAATTGATGCCCCCTCATGTGTAGTACATGTGTACAAAATTGATGATCCCCCCTCTTTCTCTCTCTACGTCCCCAGAACAAAATGGGTGACACACCCAAATTAAAGGAGGTGACAATCATTCTCATTTTCACTTTCCCTTTCTTTTCTCTTTCTCTCTGACCTCTTCTCCCCCCAAAAGCCACATATTATGAATGTTCTATTATACAGTACACAAATTACAAGGAGGTGACAGAGCTCCAGCTCAACCTAGGGTGTTTCCTATGAGGGGCACATCCTGCTCGTGGTCATCCTTACACAAGCAGTCAGAATACCTGACTGTCCAACACTGAAATTATAAACAAACATAGAAATGGACAACAACAGATATTAGGAGATAATGGCTTTAAGCTGGACATTGGGGCATGTGGGACTGATTACTGACAGAGCCCAGGGGATATTTGACTAAGGCTATATTTGTCAGAATATGAATAACAGTAATTAATGAACATGAGAATGCCAGGATTGGCTGATAAGTCCATATACAATGCAGTAGGGGTGAGGATTAAGAATAGATATTAGCATCCTATAAATAATTGCAATTAATACATGCCTTGGCTACTTTGTATTTTGCCTTGGAATTTAACATGTATCTGGGCAATTAAGCTATCCTGAATGAGTCGGTGTGACATCACTCTCAATCACATGAATGATTGCAAAATGATTGGATTTTATTACCCACTATTGTATCGCATGGTGACAATCACTTGATTGTCTCGTCCAGATTTGATTTGTTTACAAACTACATCGTACAGCTGTAATACTGCAATTATATACTCATGATACTTTCGGAATTGTACAATCGACTCTGCTTTTAGCAGAGATTTCTTATGGATGTGGAAAGGGTTTTGTCACTTCTATTTCAAACACTTTGCCTGTAACTTATACTTTGGATGGTTCAAGTGAACCAGCTGGTACTCAGTAAAATACAAGTTACCATTGCAAAGCTGGGCCTTTAGGGCAAATTTAGAAAAAGTGAATTCAACCACATATTCGGTATAGACTGTGATGTGAAAACCATTTTCTAAGAACATCTAGGACACCTGTAGTCTGTCACATAGATCCTGAAGGGCGGTGGGGTAGCCTAATGGTTAAAGCATTCACTCGTCATGCTGAACATCTGGGTTCAATTTCCCACATGGGTACAACGTGTGAAGTCCATCTCTGGTGTCCCCTGCCATGATATTGCTGGAATGTTGCCAAAACCAGAGTAAAACTAAACTCACTCATAGATCCTGAAATAAAGGGGGATGGGGTAGCCTAGTGGTTAAAGCGTTTGCTCGTCACACCGAAGACTGGGGTTCGATTCCCCACATGGCTACAATGTGTGAAGCCCATTTCTGGTGTCCCCATGCATTGATATTGCCCATTGCTGGTGTCCCCTGCCATGATATTGCTGGAATATTGCCTCACTCACTCACTCACTCACTCACTCACTCACTCACTCCTGAAATAAATATACACAATGCAGCCCAAGCAAGTCTAGAGTACCACAGTTTCTGGAAATGAAGAAGAATCTCACTCACTCACTCACTCTACTTATTCATATCTTTATGAAATAAATATACACAATGCAGCCCAAGCAAGTCTCGAGTACCACAGTTTCTGAAATGAAGAAGAGTCTCTGGGCTCTAAATGTTATTCTTCTTTGACCCTTGTCTCCTAGAAAATGTTATTCTTCTTGACCCTGGCCATAGGCCATATTCCACACTGGCTGCAGCAATGATCTTTGTTCTGTCTGCAATATGTCCTTGTTCTAGGCGGTTCCGGAAATGGTGCAAGACCAGCATCACTATGGACATTTGTCTTAATGGAGCTGACTTACCTCATGTAACAAATATACTGTTGGAAGCAAAGCTAAAGCCTAAGACACGAGGGATTACCAAACAGATAGTCTTGGTTTTAGATAGCGTCTGTGAAGCACTTAAAGGTGATTCCTATACCCATTTGGAACACTTTTCAGTAATAAAGTGTTTTTGTGTTCAGCACCACTTTGAACCAATATTCCCTGAGCCCAATGGAAACAGCTTTGTTTCTGCTTGTGAAGGGTCGTAGTCAAGCGATGCATGTGAGCATCATTTTACAGACATTTGGATCCAGATCTACTCTTTCAGTGAAATGTTTGTCTTTGCAGCCAATCAATTACAAATCCTGATCAGTGTTTAATGTGAATGATCGTAGGAGGCAGGTGAATGATCGTACCCTGTGGATCAAATTGTTAGGAAAGTTAGGGAACACACTCTCCTAGCATGACAAAACCAACTTAATCTTCTCCATCCTGTTATTACTTAAATGTATCCACGACTGCAAGGTTTCTGAACTGAAGACCTACGACAACAGTAGCAGACGCTGAAGAATATGTTGTATAAAAAACCCAGCTACTCTCATAACTTGCAGTTCTTGGCTCTTTTCACTCGACACTTCGACCCAGTGGGCATAACATTTGTAAATTAGGTTTTAAAGGTCAGAATTCTCTTTTTTTTTGCAGCAATATCGGGCTTGGATGGGGACGAAACTCCTGCCCCAAGGAACATTCGTCTGGGGTCGTTCATACCAATGGGGTCGACGACCAGCGAGGTGTTCTCCGAGGCTAGCGAGACCAACAAGGAAATGCTTGTGGGGGTATGGCAGTGTCGCTTCAGAATGCCCAAGTGCCTGCGCAAGATCAGATTCCCCAACACCATTGAAGCTCAGAGTGAGTTGGCAGCCCCAGTTGTTCCTGTAGGGAGACAATAGGAGGGGGCTTACTTTCTTATATAATAAAAATGAGAGTGTTTATTATCTTTGTCATCTATTGGTTGGCCCTGAAAGTTAAAATGTCAAATGAATTTATTATTGGATTTGGTATTTTGACATTAAATTGTTTGAGGAAGAAAGTACCTCCAGACATTATGTTCTTTTTTTTCTGAGACTCAAGAAGCAATATTTGTTGATAGTAAACTGTGTCAGCTGAACTCTTTTAATTTCTGAAAGTGTTTTCAATAAGTTTACATATATTTTTCATCTGTTTACTCTGTGATAATATCAACTTTGTCCTGTCATTCATTTGTGTGTGTATATACAGTGTATGAAAATAGGCCCGCCTGAGATGGGTAGATTTCTGACAGACTGTCTAAATTTACAGCTAGCCAGCCTGATGGTCTGGTAAAATATTTAGACAGCATGTTCGGAAGATGTTCCATACATCTGAGTAAATTCATCATATAAAATCTATTTTTCAAATTGAACGTTACATTTACACTTGACAATGACTTTGAACTATGGTATCGCAAGCTCAAAGCACTGCGTTGACATTTCTTATCACTAAAACAGCGACACCTCTAAAAATGACTGTTGTGTATAGACTGTTAGACAGTAAATACATGTCTCGGGTTCATTGAATTATTCATATTGTAACTAAAATTGAGATATTTTCTTTGGATTGTCTAGTCTGGTTAAATCCATTTTTATGTCTGGCTGGGTTTTGGGCTTATTTCATACACTGGTATATAGTGTCGCCATCTACATGATGTATTGTGCATTTATCTATCCAACAGGATATGTGTAAAACCACGATTTGTTTTCTTGGCGTTGGGGGACCCAAATTTTATATGGATAGTTAGATATTTATTACCTTGATAAAAGTATGAAAACAAATTGCATGAAAGAGGCCAAATGATTTTCTTTTCTAATCAGAGCACTTATCCATTTCAAGATATCCCTTTGTCCCAGGCACCTGTCTTTCCTTCACACATAAAAACATTAACAAGTGTGCATGGCTAACAGTTAAGTTAATAAGACTGAATGATGGTGGAATGAAGTGGTAAATAAAACATCAACTTGTTCCAGTTGTGTGGTGCCTTTACACTATGAATACACAATGCCATTAAGTGTTCACATGTAGTGTATGTTATATCTGAAATTCCACTTTCCCAGTAAAGTACAGATTCTAGTACATTTGTTGGGTCAAGTCCCATCTTGGATACGAAACCACTCTCAGAGGAAGGCACCTACCACTAGCACACAAAACCAGCAATGTAACTCACTCAGCCACTATGACTTCTACAAAAATGTTTCAGTTGTGTGAGTGGCCAAACACTGCCACATAGTTTTAGGTTGAGTCCCACCCTGGATTTAAACCCACATTTTCAGAGTCAGGCACCCAGGGATTTACCTTGAGTCCTGTATTTGAGGGTCCCTGGGACTCATACTCTTAATTTTCAGGGGTCCTGGACAACAAAATGGGGGTCCTAGACACTTAAATATTATCATTAATACTGTTGTTATATTGTGTATCATGATCATCACATTGTTACAGTAATTAAATTGTGATTAAGTGATTGGAATTTGTACAAAAAGTATTTTGACTTTTTCTGAGTCCCTGTGGACGCGCTAATAAATTTTGTTGCGTTCATTGTCAATTTTTGATGCGTATAGGACGCAGGAATTCACGTCCTGTAAATCTCTGGGCACATATCACTAGCACACAAAGTCAGTGATCTAACCCACTCAGACACCATTTCTTCCACTAAAATGTTCCAGTTGTTTGAATGCACATACACTTCAAACCCGTGAAGGTCTGGGTTAGAATTAACCTTTAGTAACCCATGCTTGTCGTAAGAGGCGACTAATGGGATCAGGTGGTCAGGCTCGCTGACTTGGTTGACACATGTCATCAGTTGCCAATTGCGCAGATCGATGCTCATGCTGTTGATCACTGGATTGTTTGGTCCAGACTCGATTATTTACAGATCGCCGTCATATAGCTGGAATATTGCTGAGTGCGGCGTAAAACTAAACTCACTCACTCGCTCACATACACTTCAACACATCTGTTAGGTTAAGTCCCATCCGGAATTCGAACCCACACTCTCAGTGTGAGAAATCTAACTGCCAGCGATCTAACCCACTCAGCCACTCATAAGTTACTGGGTATCAGGCAGCTAGGACTCTGATTACACTTGGTATGCTGAAGTACATCTACAGGGTTATAGTTTTAGTCCCCGTGCATCTCTGCTGGACATCAAAGTGGCACTGAACTTTACCTATGTCCTCAGTCTTAGAGCCTTTTTGCTCAAAGCAATGTGGCACGACAGTTGTAACTCCTATACATTAACATAGGCTTACAATTAGTGTTGGGAATTGGTTGAAATCTCACAATTGATGATTGCTTGATTACCAACGAGAAATCATCGACAAAAATTGGTTATCGTCATTTCTCAGATTTTTCTATTCAGGTTGTTATAGCAGATAAGTATAACATGATGCAACTTGCTACATTAAAGTGATGACTAATATGTCATGAACATAAATTACTCAGTCTTTAACTATTATTAAGTCATGACTTTTCAGTTATTGAAGTGAGTTTTCCAAGAATTAAACACATTTTCAGGCCCTGACAGCTTCGAATATATGTTCCATCGACAAGAGTTATAAAGACTAAAACAGTATTTCCAAAATCGTTTGTGTTCGATTATGAGAAATGTGATCGATTGCTTGGTCGTTTTGTCACTGCGACCAATCTTCGATTATTTCAATTAATTGGAACACCACTACTTACAATCATCGTAGCACTCAAATCACTTGAAAAAGAAGATCGATTTTCATGCTGTTGATCACTGGATTGTCTGGTCCAGACTCGATTATTACAGACCGCCACCATATAGCTGGAATATTGCTGAGTGCGGCGTAAAACTAAACTCACTCACTCACTGGAAAAAGAATCCAGATGGTTAGGTGAACTGTTCATAAAACCAAGGCAGTTTAGGACCCTGGGTATGCTTACTCATGCGTTTTTGAGAGGCAAGAAGTTGTAAAGATGAAGGAAAACCAAGTTTTATGGATAGTCAACATCTTTATTGCAATGAGTACTATGTTTTTGGTGTAGGTACTAACACCACTTATATCACTTGCTTGATACAGTGTTAGTACCTACACCGAAACATCGCACTCATTGCAATAAAGAAGTTGACTATCCATAGAGGTTTTCCTTTACTCGTCTTGATGAGGCAATGCATTTAGGGTGGCCGAGTTGGTTACCTGTCTGACTGTGTGACAGTGCCAGACAGAATGGATTGTTTTTCCATGTAAGGCTTGAAGGCAAGGTGTCCTATTCATAATTCTACTGATAATCGTGGGACCTTGGATTACTGATTATTGGTTACTTCTCAACTTGTACTTGCCTTCTATGTACTCAGTCTTTAGATATTCTAACTGTTAAAACGGGACAACTTTGGTCTAAACTTGAAACAAAGATGGATAGATCTCCATTGGGCAGTATTCACATAAGGGCTTGATTACACAATGCCATTTACAAAGTGGATGGGTTTCAATCCCCAAAAGTACTAGAATCTGTACTTTACTAAGAAGGTGTGATCCCAAATATAACACACGTTACACATAAGGACTTCTCGATCATATTCAGTCTGACACATGAAATATTTCAATCTGTTTTGCTCTGAAGAAACCTCAGGGGACTCTTCATCATGCATCCTGAAATCTGTCTCCTACAGGTAAACTCTACGTGGGGTGGCTGTTCCTCGTCATGTTGGCCTACATGTACAACGCTTGGGTGATCCCCCTCCGCGGCTTCTTCCCCTATCAGACGGCAGACAACGTGTGGTACTGGCTCATCTGTGACTACACCGCTGACTTGGTCTACATCCTTGACATTGCCATCTTCAAAGTCAGGATCAGATTCGTTAATAATGGCATAATTGAGGTATAATTTGATATCTTAATGTTCATGTTGTCTTTTGCTTAGGGGCCATTAACCACTAAGGTCTCGGTAATTTTTCATCGATTATTTCAAATAATATGATGATAATTGGATGTGATGTGCTTTTTGATGTATTGTTTGTCATTACACATGACTCAACATTGGGAAAACAATCTTTTTGACATAATTGCTCCATGATATGCAATGCTTTAAACTGCATTTATATTTTTTGCAGTGTGACAGAAAGCTAACAAAGAAAAATTATATGAAGAAACTTATGTTTAAGGTAAGATTTGCTTTGAATAATATAAAAAATTACTTGCATGGTTTCATATAAAATGAAATCAGTCATGAATCTTTTGGACATTTGAAAACTTTCAGAACAGTTTTTGAAGAGTACATGAGATAAGAACCTCAGCTGGTTATATGCTGACCACACATTTGATGGTGATTCATCATTTTTGTGTTACAACAAGGCGGTTGGGTAGCCTTGTGGTTAAAGCGTTTGCTCGTCACGCCGAAGATCCGGGTTCGATTCCTCACATGGGTACAATGTGTGAAGCCCATTTCTGGTGTCTCCCTCCGTGATATTGCTGGAATATTGCTAAAAGCGGCGTAAACTCATTCACTGTGTGTTACAGCTGTAAGACTGCTCAATGTAAAGTCCTCTGTTTCAGCTGGATGTCTGTTCTCTGCTTCCACTCGACCTCCTGTACCTTGTACCTGGAGTCGGTGTCAATGCCTGGCTCCGTATACCCAGACTGCTCAAGGTAAGCAACAGTTAGGTCCACATGGTAAGCTCGTATGCTCTTATTGCTCAATGCAAGATATGCATGGGTCTACAGATTCAAAATGAGCAAATACCAGGGTCCACAAGCTCAAAGTAAGCAGTATCTGGTCCACAAGCTCAAAGTAAGCAGTATCTGGTCCACAAGCTCTAAGTAAGCAGTATCTGGGTCCACAAGCTCAAAGTAAGCAGTATCTGGGTCCACAAGCTCAAAGTAAGCAATACCTTGGCCCACAAGCTCAAAGTAAGCAGTATCTGGGTCCACAAGCTCAAAGTAAGCAGTATCTTGGTGCACAAGCTCAAAGTAAGCTGTATCTGGGTCCACAAGCTCAAAGTAAGCAGTATCTGGGTGTACAAGCTCAAAGTAAGCAGTATCAGGGTCCACAAGCTCAAAGTAAGCTGTATCGGGGTCCACAAGCTCAAAGTAAGCAGTATCTGGGCCCACAAGCTCAAAGTAAGCAGTATCTGGGTCCACAAGCTCAAAGTAAGCAGTATCAGGGTCCACAAGCTCAAAGTAAGCAGTATCAGGGTCCACAAGTAAGCAGTATCTCAAAGTAAGCAGTATCTGGGTCCACAAGCTCAAAGTAAGCAGTATCAGGGTCCACAAGCTCAAAGTAAGCAGTATCTGGGTCCACAAGCTCAAAGTAAGCAGTATCTGGGTCCACAAGCTCAAAGTAAGCAGTATCTGGGTCCACAAGCTCAAAGTAAGCAGTATCTGGGTCCACAAGCTCAAAGTAAGCAATACCTTGGCCCACAAGCTCAAAGTAAGCAGTATCTGGGTCCACAAGCTCAAAGTAAGCAGTATCAGGGTCCACAAGCTCAAAGCATGCAGTATCTGGGTCCACAAGCTCAAAGTAAGCAGTATCTTGGTGCACAAGCTCAAAGTAAGCAGTATCTGGGTCCACAAGCTCAAAGTAAGCAGTATCTTGGTGCACAAGCTCAAAGTAAGCAGTAAGCTCAAAGTAAGCAGTATCAGGGTCCACAAGCTCAAAGTAAGCAGTATCTGGGTGTAGGGTCCAAGCTCAAAGTAAGCAGTATCAGGGTCCACAAGCTCAAAGTAAGCAGTATCAGGGTCCACAAGCTCAAAGTAAGCAATATCTTGGTCCACAAGCTCAAAGTAAGCAGTATCTGGGTCCACAAGCTCAAAGTAAGCAGTATCAGGGTCCACAAGCTCAAAGTAAGCAGTATCTGGGTTCCTCAGATTCTAGATTTTACAGTACAGCAGCATACTCAGTTAATAATATTTGTGCACTTTGAAATGATGTCATTGTTTGGTAAGTTGTGGATCTTGTTCTAGGTTCAGACATTTTGGGAGTTCTATGAGAGATGTGACCAAGCTGCCAACTCCTCTGCCCATGCGATCAGGTAACAACAATGCCCCACATTGATGTTAGGCAATGTGTGAACACATCATATACTTGAATATAGGAATCAAATACTGGTCAAATAGTTCAAACAGTTTGTGAGTAGTGGTTGGTATTTAACGCCACACCCAGCAATATTCCAGCTATATGGCGGCAGTCTGAGAAGAATCAAGTCTGGACCTCACAATCCAGTGATCAACAGCATGAGCATCGATTTACGCAATTGTTATACGATGACATGTGTCAGCCAAGTCAGCAAGCCTGACCAACAGATCCCGTTAGTCGCCTCTTACGACAAGCATGGGTTACTGAAGGTTCATTCTAACCCGGACATTGTGAGCGGTGATGTAAATGTACAGAGTACAGTATTGCCTCACAAAACACAGCAATGGCTACAAAACATTGGTTAACAACTGTATCGCAATACATACGATTCATTACATTACAAATTATTTGATGAGAAAACATAAGCACTTTCTGCATATTCTTTGGTATTTTCAGATTTTATTTATGGCAAGCATCTACATGGAACACTTACAGTAGAAACATTCATGAGAACACTACTGAATAGGCTTAAATATTCCCTCTGGATTATGGTTGCCTTATTCCTGTGGATTCCACAGACACATACAGAATGGAAATGAAAATGATACTGAATGATACTGTTTTTAACCATATGCTCACGATAAAAATGGATTTTATCGAAAATTCTTTGTTTCGACAAAAATGCATTTTTAAGACACTAGCACTAAAAAATTAAAATATTTACTAAAACTATGTAATTAGCTCTTTAATAATAGATATTCATGATAAAAAATTTAGTTGCAAGTGGGATTTTTGTCATTTCAAGTCAGTTTTTCATTAATGCCAAGAATTAACTATTTGTTAAAGATAATATTTATCAATTGTTCATCAGGTCAAAGGATTAAGCATCTTTAAGCATATCTTCAATATTAAGTTTTCAGCAATAAATGGATGTTGAAAATTACATTGTATTGATAGTCTTATCTACAAACTGAAACACTGCTACAGCTGTTATGAAGAAGTTAATCATGAAGACTATCTTGTGATGCCTTACAAATACAGTTTCTACATCCTGCTCAAAGATCTTGCTGAAACTGTAGACAGAGATATGGTCTCCAGTTCTGGGGAGAATGAGTTGATGAAACAGAATTGCTTTGTTTTCACCAAACCAGTGACAGTTTTGACTTCTGTAATGGATGCCAAGTTGTATTGTGCAGCTTTGGTCATATTTCTCCTGGAGATGTTGTTGAGGCCGTGCATCTCCTGTTTATTGATCCCAGATGATACATCTTGCACAGCTTGATAGATGGAGGTGTTTCATGTCAGATCGGGAACTTTGTGGGGCTTAAACAATCAATTCTTTACTTCATTGGAGAGACTATATCTCTCAGAAACTGAAAGGTGTTATTCCCAGTGATGTATGTGTTACCTGGGAGGAGGCTCGGATAAATCCCCGGTGAAGATGCATGTTAGAATTGTCTTCAGAAACCAGTGCCTGCTGAGAGAGACAAACTGGATTGGGTGGTGAGGCTTGCTGACTGGGTTGGGTGGTGAGGCTTGCTGACTGGGTTGGGTGGTGAGGCTTGCTGACTGGGTTGGGTGGTGAGGCTTGCTGACTGGGTTGGGTGGTGAGGCTTGCTGACTGGATTGGGTGGTGAGGCTTGCTGACTGGGTTGGGTGGTGAGGCTTGCTGACTGGGTTGACATATGTCATTGTATCCAGTAGATAGATTGCATTTTTTTTTAATGCCACACTCGGCAATATTCCAGCTACATGGAGGCGGTCTGTAAATAGTCAAGTCTGGACCAGACAATCCAGTGATCATCATTATAAGCCTGGTCTTAGCAATTGGGATATCATGAAGTGTCAACCAAGTCAGAGAGCCTGACCTATCCCATCAGTTTCCTCTTACAACAAGCATGAGTTGCTGAAGACCAATCCTAACCCGGATCTTCACGGGCTACCAATGACTGTATTTTTTAGTAGTAGATTGATGCTCATAACGTCAATCACTGATTTGTTCTGGTCCAGACACAATATGAAGCCATCAACAGCAAACAAATGGGTGAACTGATACAACTTAAGGCCTGATGATATCAAATCAGGCCTTGATCTTGTTAGGGGATTGTTGAAATATTGGGATAAAAGTTATTTTCAAATGCCTCACATATTGCTGTTTTACCTTACCTGTTGCTTCACAGTGCTTTAACTTTAAGTAAATATAGAAACATTGCATTTATCATGAAATGTTCATTTGTATCTTGGGGTGGTGGGGTAGCCAAGTGGTTAAAGCGTTTGCTCGTCACGCCGAAGACCCGGGTTCGATTCCCCACATGGGTACAATGTGTGAAGCCCATTTCTGGTGTCCCCCGCCGTGATATTGCTGGAATAATGCTAAAAAGCGGCGTAAAACCATATTCAGTCACTCACTCATATCTTTCTAACACATACAAGTTGTTCAGGTCTGATATGATAGTAAATGACCTGGCTTTCCTTGCACAAAGTGCTGCATTTAAAACTCTATTTTCATCTCAAAATTCTATGTTAATTGTTGAAAACCGAACAGGCAAGTTTGTATTTGGACTGGTAATTCTTTTAAGTTACCAGTCTGGCTGTCTGGCTTGGAATTTTGGGAGTTTTAAATACTGCAAAGTGACCTTGGTACTAAGGACATTGTAACTCAATGCTGTAATATCATCTTAGTGCTAAGATGTCTTTGTGTGAGGGGGCCGTGTATCACCTTAAAACTGACCTCCATGATGACTAACAAACGTTTTGATTTTTTCTTCAGGATCATCAAGACGATGACGTACATGTTGTTTCTGATCCACATCGAGACTTGCGGCTACTACGCTGTGTCTGTGTACGAGGGCATCAACTCCAACCAGTGGGTCTACAATGGAACTGGCAATGCGTGAGTTGACAATGTCACTCTGTTATATTGATAACCTTCTCATGGAGATTTAAGGTTAACTAGTTCCCAGCAACCTGTGCTGCACCATTTTGCACCAGATGTTGTATTCCTAATGACAAAAGTGTTCCCAAATATTCTGTTATCTGTCATATATAGCCATGCTGAGATCTGCTTTTTTAAAATCCTTGGTCAGTATGGTTTTCTTTGATTATTTTTTTGTTTTGTTGCAATCTCCTATGCAGAGTTGTGTCCCTTATGAGTGTCAGGATCCTGTAATTGTGGGTTTGAATCCTGGGTTAACGTAATTTTCTTTTTAGGTTTGTGATCCTAGTTTTCCCGATGTGGTAAATATTTACCCCATGGTTCTAGTTGCCAGTACTCTTAAGTAACCACCTCCGTGGTGTAGTGGTTAGAGCGTCCGCCTGGAGAGCGGAAGGTCGCGGGTTCGATCCCCAACCGCGTCATACCAAAAGACGTTAAAATATGGTACTTGTTGGTCCCTGCCTGGCCCTCGGCATTAATGGGTACAACAAGGACTGGTCGGCTTGGAGTCAGTATAATGTGTCTGAGTGGGGTATTCATGCTTCACTGCGGCATGGTATCTCAGTGGGCTAGCACCATAAAACCAGCTTCAGTCTGGGCTAGTACAAGCAGCTGCACATACACATACACACGCATGCACGTCATCAATATTCTCAAGCACGATATTAAAACCCAATTTCACCTCACCTCACCTCACCTCTTAAGTTATGCTGATTGACATGAATCCCTATTTACCACATGTTTAAATGTCTTGTTTAAACATTGTAGACTACTGCTATATTGAGCTACTTTCTGTTGATCAGCTACATCCGTTGCTTCTATCTGGCCACAAAGACTGCCACCTCCATTGGCAACAACCCCAAACCCCAAAACCAGCTGGAGTATCTCTTCATGACACTCTACTGGCTGTCAGGGGTCTTTGTGTTCGCACTTCTTATTGGTCAGGTGAGTCATTTGACTTGGACAGTATTTTGTGTTGATGTTTTTCATTGGCCAGGTGGGTCATGTGACATGGACAGTACTTTGTATTGATATTTCTCATTGGTCAGGTGAGGACTTGAACAATATGGGTGTTACCACTTGTCATTGGCCAGTGGGTCATGTGATTTGAACAGTATTTTTTGTTGATGCTCGTCATTGGTACTTCTAAGGGACCGTTCATAACTTATGACTGGGGTGGGGTGGGGGTGTGGTGTGGTGGTTGATGATGATGATTTTTATGGAGAAGCATGTACAATGTGAATGACTCCCCCCTAAAATTTATGTACAGAATAAGTGACACCCCCCCTACATGTCATGTACAAAATCAATGACCCCCTCCCCTTCCCATAATTTCTAAGCATAATTTTAAACATATTTTTATGTACAACATTGATGACCCCCTAGTACCTTTTGACAAAATTGATGACCCCCTAGCTCCCCAGAACAAAATGGGTGACCCCTTAAAATCATCATCACCCCCATAGCCATAAATTATGAACGGTCCCTAAGAAAATGATAAATTCCTTTGTGAAAATGAAACATTTCCTCTATGAAAAAAGCCTGATCCCCAAGCCATCTTGAACCAATGTTCAAAATAATGGTGTAATAAGTGACAGAAATTTCTCTTCAAGTCATCAGTTGATATGTTTAGCATGAGCGTGTAGTTGTTCATGTCATGATGCACTGGTTTGTCTGGTCAAGACGAGATTAAATACAGGTTGTGGACATTATGCTGGGATAGTTTTAACTGCATAATTAAACTTCTGCTCTATTTATTACAATAGTTCAAGAAGGCTGTTATTAAAATTCAGCCCACTTTGGGCATTGAACATTTTTTTCACACCATCCATTAGCATATCCTTGCTTGAACCAACTAACATCCCTTTGCATTACTCTACTTCAGATCCGAGACATCGTGGAGGCGGCAGGGCAGGTGAAGTCCAACTATCGTAAGAGGATGGACCAGACGATCCGTTACATGGAGTCCATCAACATCCCCAAGGAGATGCAGGAGCGGGTCCGCCAGTGGTTCCTCTACAACTGGGAGCAGCACAAGACCATAGGTAACATGTTCACAAGGGCTACAAACAGTTTCACTGTGTCTAGTTGGAGATGTTATTATATTACTGTCTTTGGAAGACACATATATGTCGGCTGTACAGGTCTGGATGGTTTGATGTTACATCAGCCTTGTGATATGGCATCCTAAAATAGAGCAAAGAGTTATGAGAGGATTGTGGCCTAGATGCATCTAAGAGTTGAGGATTGCAACATAGATGCAGCTAAGAGTTAAGAGAGGATTGCAGCCTAGATGCAGTTAAGAGAGGATTGCAGCATAGATGCAGTTAAGAGAGGATTGCAGCATAGATGTAGCTAGGAGTTAAGAGAGGATTGCAGCCTAGATGTAGCTAGGAGTTAAGAGAGGATTGCAGCCTAGATGTAGCTAGGAGTTAAGAGAGGTTTGCAGCCTAGATGCAGCTAGGAGTTAGAGAGGATTGCAGCCTAGATGCAGCTAGGAGTTAAGAGAGGATTGCAGCCTAGATGCAGCTAAGGGTTAAGAGAGGATTGCAGCCTAGATGCAGCTAGGAGTTAAGAGAGGATTGCAGCCTAGATGTAGCTAGGAGTTAAGAGAGGTTTGCAGCCTAGATGCAGCTAGGAGTTAGAGAGGATTGCAGCCTAGATGCAGCTAGGAGTTAAGAGAGGAATGCAGCCTAGATGCAGCTAAGGGTTAAGAGAGGATTGCAGCCTAGATGCAGCTAGGAGTTAAGAGAGGATTGCAGCATAGATGTAGCTAGGAGTTAAGAGAGGATTGCAGCCTAGATGTAGCTAGGAGTTAAGAGAGGATTGCAGCCTAGATGCAGCTAGGAGTTAGAGAGGATTGCAGCCTAGATGCAGCTAGGAGTTAAGAGAGGAATGCAGCCTAGATGCAGCTAAGGGTTAAGAGAGGATTGCAGCCTAGATGCAGCTAAGGGTTAAGAGAGGAATGCAGCCTAGATGCAGCTAAGGGTTAAGAGAGGAATGCAGCATAAATACAGCTAGGAGTTAAGAGAGGATTGCAGCCTAGTAGTAATACAATAATACAGCCCAATGACTGTAGGCACTACAGTGTCATCTCTAATGAGTGTCGATGTTGCCAGATGAGCGGTTGCTGCTGGAGACGCTGCCACGGAAGCTGCAGACTGACCTGGCCATCAACGTCCACTTCAACACTCTCAGCAAGGTGCAGCTGTTCCAGGACTGCGACAAGAACCTCCTGTACGACCTGGTCCTCAAACTCAAACCCAGCCTCTTCCTGCCCCAGGACTACATCTGCTACAAGGTAATGTCAATGTTCTATAGAGGCTCTAACAAATAGCAATGATGAGTTGATCTGCCATGCATTCAGAATAATATGTCAACTGAAACAATGGTCACCATGTGAGTCAGTTTATCTCTGCAAGTAAGCAATATTAGGGCCTTTTCAAAATGTTGCATTACCCGTTCAACAGTGACTAAATATGCTCTAGTTCTATGGTATCACTATCGGGATTTATTTATTCCAAGTACCATATCTCTCTTAAACAAATGTGAAGATACCTAAATCAAAGACTTTCTAATGTGTCAGTAGCTCTGCTGATGTAACACAAATTCCTGAAAAGGCATTAAAGTATTATTCTATTCTATTCTATTCTATTCTATTCTATTCTATTCTATTCTATTCTATTCTATTCTATTCTATTCTATTCTATTCTATTCTATTCTATTCTATATGATGGCACACATAGGCGCAGAGAAAATGGTTTAGTAAATGAATGTTGTGCACCTGGATGGCATGTTGTGCATTATATGCATATTATATGAGTGAGTGAGTGAGTTGAGTTTTATGCCACACTCAGCAATATTCCAGCTATATGGAGGCGGTCTGTAAATAATTAAGTCTGGACCAGACAATCCAGGGATCAACAGCATGAACATCGATCTACGCAATTGGGATGCAATGACATGTCAACCAAGTCAGCGAGCCTGACCACCCGATCCCGTTAGTCACCTCTTACGACAAGCATGGGTTACTGAAGACCAATTCTAACCCAGGTCTTCATGGGTCCATATTATATGAACAATTGTATAATTACATCAGAATGTTGTACAAACTGCAGCGTCATAATACTTTCTATATTGTCAATGTTCTCCTTAACATTTCATGTTCTTTATGAGTACACTGTGTTCTTTGTGGCCACTTTGCAACCTGTATGATTTATTATACCTATGAACACCTGGGTTAGAATTGTCTTCAGCAACGCATGTTTGTTGTAAGAGGTGACTTACAGGATCAGGTAGTCTGGCTCGCTGACTTGGAAGATTAATGTCATTGCATCCCAACTGCGTAGATTGATGCTCATGATGTCAATCACTGGATTGTCTGGTCCAGGCTCAATTATTTACAGATCGGCGTCACTTAGCTGGAATATTGTCAAGTTTTGCATTAAAATATAAATATTAAGGGTTTTTAATTGTTTGTTTTTTAAGTATACTTAAAGCAAGAACCTGTAGCTCACCTGACCTGTATCTGTGTTGCAGGGTGAGGTGGGGAAGGAGATGTACATCGTGAGTCACGGCCAGGTGGAGGTGGTCGGTGGGGAAGATGGAGAGACGGTGCTGGCCACACTACACGAGGGCAGCGTCTTCGGGGAAATCAGGTACGTGGTGGGTGGGGAAGATGGAGAGACGGTGCTGGCCACACTACACGAGGGCAGCGTCTTCGGGGAAATCAGGTACGTGGTGGGTGGGGAAGATGGAGAGACGGTGCTGGCCACACTACACGAGGCCTTCGGGGAAATCAGGCGTCTTCGGGAAATGGAGAATGGTGCGGCCACACTACAGTGGGTGCCTTCGGGAAGATGGAGGTGGGGAAGATGATGAGACGGTGCTGGCCACACTACACTACAGGGCAGCGTCTTCGGGAAATCAGGTACGTGGGTGGGTGGGGAAGATGGAGAGACGGTGCTGGCCACACTACACACAGGCAGGGCAGCGCCTTTGGGTAAATCAGGTACGTGGTGGGTGGGGAAGATGGAGAGACGGTGCTGGCCACACACTGTGGTGCGATAGCAGTGTCTTTGGGGAAATCAGGTATGTGGTGGGTGCAGCGCCTCTTGGGTAAATCAGGTAAATCAGGTACGTGGTGGGTGGGGAAGATGGAGAGACGGTGCTGGCCACACTACACGAGGACAGCGTCTTCAGGGAAATGAGGTACATTCTGGACACAGTAGCCATCACTTAGATAGAAGCTGTTTGAATTGGCAGTCCTAGAGTTTGAATCAAGTCATTCAGACAATACTTTGCTAGTCCGTTTACTTGTGTTTAATATTTGAGATCAATCCACAGCTTATGTAATAACTATGTTTCAGTTATACTCGAGACACAATGTATGACCTGCCTACACTATGCAGCACAATGTGGAGCCTTTTTCCCTTTGATTTACTGTATTAATTAATTCAGGCTCGGTCTAAAAATGAAAATGACAGCCAATCTTTGGCTGGAGTAGATAACAGATAATCAACAAGAGTCAGATTTAGAGTAATCAACATTTAAAGTTTGATTTCGGAGAATATGTTTAACTTGTGTCTGGCTAAGATAAGCAGCTTGTGTGTTGATTAAAATGAAAACAGACATATGGTGTCTGTTATAAGTTAATTGTTGGTAACATACTCAGGGAAGCTGTTTGACTGTTTTTAGCTTGCTGGCCATGTCAGGAGGTAACCGACGTACAGCTAACGTACGCAGCAAGGGCTACACCAATGTCTTCACACTGTCTAAGGCCGACTTTGAGGAAGCCATGAGAGAATACCCTGAAGCCCAAAAGCTGCTCCGGAAGAGGGCAAAGTAAGAGTTGTTGTAGTCACACTGTCTGCTCTTCATTGTATTCCCTCCAGCATGAGGTATAGGCTGGTGTTGGGATTATCTGTCTCTCAGACAGGCTCACTACCCTACCAGTTGGCTGTATAGTCTGTTTGCAGTGAAAACGTACCGATGAATTTCACTTAAACAAAAAAGTAAATCAAATAAAGTGAAATTAAGATTGCGAATCCTCATATTTTGACTTGCCAACTGAACATTTAAGTCTCAGAATTTTATTCAACTTAGGATAAAAGTTGTTTAACAAACGATCATAGTTTCAAATCGCTCTTATTGGTTTGTATTACAAGGGGGTGAACACATTAAATGAAACACCGAGAACATGTAGGGTTGGTCTAAGTTAACGCTCATCACGAACCGCACGTGCATTTGTTTTACTATTCCAACTACTGCGCTTACCCCCTTGTAATACAAACCAATATAAGCGATTTGAAACTATGATCGTTTGTTAAACAACTTTTATCCTAAGTTGAATAAAATTCTGAGACTTAAATGTTCAGTTGGCAAGTCAAAATATGAGGATTCGCAATCTTAATTTCACTTTATTTGATTTACGTTTTTGTTTAAAGTAAAATTAATCGGTACGTTTTCACTGCAAACAGCCTATAGACGTGGTGTATATGAACACTATCTGGATTGTACCCAACTGATTTACTATTGTAAATGAACACCGTCTGCCCATGATCCCTGATGCTAGGAAACCGCCTCTGTGGTGTAGTGGTTAGAGCGTCTGCCAAAAGACGTTAAAATATGGTACTTGTTGGTCCCTGCCTGGCGCTCGGCATTAATGGGTACAACAAGGACTGGTCGGCTCGGAGTCAGTATAATGTGTCTGAGTGGGGTATTCATGCTTCACTGCGGCATGGTATCTCAGTGGGCTAGCACTATAAAACCAGCTTAAGTCTGGGCTAGTACAAGCAGCCGCACATACACATACACACGCATGCACGTTGTCATATGAGCGAAATATTCTCAAGCACGACGTTAAACGCAATTTCACCTCACCTCACCTGATGCTATGAACATCTGACCATTGTGATGATGTCTTGCAGGAAGCTGTTGAAGGAGAACGCACGGCTGGAGAAGAAGAGTGTGAAGGTGGAGGTGGAGGAGATAATCAAGACGCCATCAGAGACGCCCAAGTTTGTCAAGACCGTCATCAAGGTCTGTTGCTATGCTTCTTGAACCCACAGAGTAATCAGGGCAAGATTAGTGTCCTGTTCCCTGTACCCTATCAGGGATTGGGAAAGGCAGTGGCCGGGCCATGGTCATTTTGCACATTAGAATAAAAACTATTCCCATTAAAGTTTTGAAGTATACTATTGGTACAAGAGCAGTGGCCAATTCTAAATTCAGAAAATGGCTAATAATCCTGAAAATGGCCCATTGTCAAAGTTCTCTATCCCAGTCCCTGCCCTACGATCACCTTTAGATCATGTAGATCTTCTGGAACCATTTGTTATGGCCTTGGGGAAGTGGGAACTGGTGTTGCATCAGTATAAGTCATTACACATAGTTACTTTGTCTGTTCTGTAATTTCTGTCTCTGTACCCAGGTGATGGACCCCGAGTCCAACTTGGTGAAGCACCTTGACCCATCCCTGAAGCAGTCCTCCAGCTTGAGGTCCATCGTCAGCAGGCCCAGCAGCAGGACGAGTTCAGGGCGATCCTCCAGGTCGTCCTCCCAGGGCAAGATTCCAGAGAGGAAGCTCAGCAAGAAAGGACAAGCAGCCTTCATCTTTGGTTCCGAGGTAATGTCATCTGGGGAGTGGGATGGAGTGAGTGAGTTGGGTTTTACCCCACTTTTAGCCTTGGGAGTGGGAGGGATTTATTGCATATATTCCAGATTTAATGCCACTCTATTCTGGAACACTTGCAGACATGTAACATACATATGAAGGAGTGAGTTAAATGTTGAAAGTGAAACATCAGTTATGATTAACTATTTGAATTCATTTTCTGTTGAGATTAAATATATTTTTCAGAAAATTTATCCTGTGTTTTTAAACACATCAACAAATATTGGTTTAAAATTTGACGTCTCCTTGATTTAAGTAAAGAATGGGTATTAAAAATTAGAACTTGCCATTCATGACTAATGACATATCTATGGCAAATGTTTATAAATAAATTTTAACATTTATTGTGGGCTATCAGTTCCGTTCCTGATGATCCTTCACGATCTGGGCAAGAATGGGTCTTCAGCAATCCAGGTCATCGTATGTCATGTCATTATAATCATGTGTATCGATGCTCATGATATCAGTCACTGGATTGCCAGACTGTATTTATATAATGCCATCATATAGCTTGAATATTGCTGAATGTGCATTACACAACAAACAATCCATTCCTGATCTGTTTTAAGTGAATTCTAATGTGCTGCTTGTGCATGAGAATTTAAGAAGAATAAATGCAAGTGGGAAAAAACAATAGTCTGTCATGCCTCTCTGTAGAATAGTCCATGAATGTGGTGACAAGGGAAGGGAGGTAACTGTTGTGTGTGATACAGGTGTCGCTGTCTGACATCCCCAACGATGCCCGCGTGGAGTATGATGTGGAGGAGGAACAGATGCTGGTGGTGGAGAGGGTGGAGCATGAGTTGACGCCGGAGTCGGTGCCACCGCCACAGAAGGAGACTCCTGTAATTGAAGACAAACGCACTCAGATCCTCAAGGATGATCTGGACAAGACCAACAACAGTGTAGAGAGCCAAGATTCCGGTTAGTCATGTGACCTTTGCCATCTTCGGTTATCCAGGGGATAATAATAATAATGATAATAATAATAGGAAACTTGTATTGCGAGTTACACCATGTTTGATACATGCTCTAAGTGCACAGTCACATAGAAAGAGTTAAGAGTGGTTGACAGAGGTAGGTCTTGAGGTGACGTCTGAAAGACATCAGGCCCCGATTTCTCGAAACAAACTTAAGTTTTTACTCAAATTTCAAACTGAGTTTGACAATTTGAAACAGCTGAATTTTTAACTCAACTGCATTTTTTAAATAAAAAAAGCCCAAACAACCTAAGTAATCTATCCACCAAACTCAAATTGTCTACTAAGTTTGAGTTTAATATTGATTTCAGTTTATTCTGGGAAATGCATTTTCCTTCGTTTTCTCAAATTTGAGTCAAAACTCCGACTTAAGTTTGTTCTTAGAAATCAGGGCCAGATCGGGACATATTCTGATTGGATTATATCTTTAATTGTGTTGAGATATATTCACTGGACCTTGCACTGGCTTGAATGACATGACACTGAAATCTCAAGTCTAATTAAATTCCACTGTTCTCATGGTGCCGTCTGACATTCTGTCAGGAGTGTCTGGCAGCTTCTGAACTTCTCAGTACATTGTACTAAGCTAGATGTTCAGTATCGACAGTTTTCTCACTTAATGATACATGTACAAGGTTGCAGGTTTTGCTGTGGCTCTATGTAAAATTCACTTTCAGAAGAAATATTTTGATTGGCTGGTACTTTGCAGTTACTGACTTAATGGCGATAGTTGCTATGGAGCTCATATAATGGACCAGAGGACCAGATAAGCTGCGTATCCATGTAAAATACGCATAGAAAATTTCCAATTACGCATTGAAAAATAATTGTTGCATACCAACTACGCATTTAAAATGTTAGATACGCAACAAGTTTAAAACAAATGCGTACGGAATATATTTATAAAAATCGCTTTCGTAATGAAAAAGACATTGATTGCTATCAAGTTGTACTGTTAGTATAGGACAAGTGTTGTACTGTCAGTATAGGATGAGTGATTTTTTATGAAATCATTTCCATTATATTTATCTTGGTTTTGATTAGGTATGACATAAGGCAGAACATACCTGCTTAGTAAACTTACTCAATGACATAATACTTAGGTGAGTAAAATGACTGAAATACGCACATATTTGAAAGCAGTGGGTAACTGAAAATGAAATACCCATTCAACATTCATAATACCTACTCCCCAAAATACAGTGGGTATAGTACCCACGTGAGCTAAATCTTATCTGGAGCTCATATAATGGATAAGCAAGAAAATGTATAGTTGCCTGTGTGTAGTATTTTATAGCTGAAGTGGTCACTGTGTAGTTTACTACTTACAGAACTGAAACAGCTGGGTGAGTTTAATAAGCAAAACAACAACAGATTTTCACATAATTTGTGACGTGAAGTATCACATGCTGCAATAATAGGTTGTTGTTAGAAATGTCAATCTTCATAAACTCCAGCAGCTTTAGGATGTAGTTTGGAATACCCGCAGGGAACAGTTTCTCATACTGTGGAATGTAATGCAACTTTCTGCAATGACCAGTGGGGATGTTCCTATTGTCAGTCTTCAGCAGGGTCCTTTACTGTTGTAAAAATCTCTTCAGACTCACTAGTTGTGCAGGTCGTCCTGACATAGCAGGTAGTGATTCCTTGGGAGTACATCAAGGATTTTATAGTTTCAACAAGTTTCATTCACTTATCATTTGCTTATTGTGTACAGTATGAGACTATCATATATTTTAAATAATTTTCCTCAATTTATTTATTAATATTTAATTTTTTCCACTAGCATTGGCATTGCAGTGTTGGAAATCTTAAAGTGTTTGAGGTTCGAGGCAGTGATATTTTTAACTAAGACATTCTTCCCGGACTAAGTTGACATGCTCTGGTATAAGTAGAAAACAGTGTTAATCTAATACACTCACTTTTATCACCAATCTACTCCTACTACATTCAAGATCCACCTGTGGAAATCAGGGTTAGAATTGTTCTTCAGTAACCCATGCATGTTGTAAGAGGCAACTAACAGGATCGGATGGTCAGGCTCACTGACTTGGTTGACACGTCATCGGTTCCCAATTGCACAGATTGATGCTCATGGTTTTGATCACTGGATTGTCTGGTCCAGACTCGATTATGTACAGACCGCCGCCATATAGCTGAAATATTGCTGAGTGCGGCGTTAAACAACCAACCAACCAACCAACCAACCAAGATATGTTGGGCTACAGCAGGGACCTTGATGTACTGTGATGTACTGTGATGTACCTCTGTGTTTGTTACAGGTATCCCCAGCATGAAGCGCAGTGCTAGTCAGAGCACAGACAAGTCTCTCAGCAACCAGGACAGCAAGGACTCCTTCAACACGAGCGACCTGATGGATGTCATCAACGAGGAGAAGCAGAAGGGTGACAGTGGCGACAGCTCCATTGTGGATCCTCCCCCAGAAGCTCGGCAGAGTCCCAGTGGAGCCAGCTCTATGTCAGATGTAGGGGAAGCTGAGTGTCAGAGTGAGTGTCGGAGTGAGGGCTCACCAGTTGACTGGATCACCACGGAAGAAAAACCTACTGAAAACGGAACTCGCCGAAAGGTGTCTTCGGAGAGCAGGGATGAGAAATCAGTTATTACAGACGGAACACGGAGAAAGGTTTCAGCTGAGAGCAAGGAGAAGGTTTTTATGGAGGATGGTACACGTAGAAAAGTTTCCACAGGAAGTAGGCATGGAGCTCAGTCTCCAGATGCCAACGGAGCACAGTCTCCCCGATGTGTGACGCCACGAAGGGGAGATAAGTCAGTGACTGAGGTAGAAAAACACGAGATTCCTTTGGAGAATAAAGTGACATGTGCCGTGGAGATCCATCGAGAGAAGACACGGACACCCTCGTCAATATTCTCTCTCGAACACCAAGAACGCCCAGGATCTAATGCATTTTACCGGCAGAACAGTAACGTGTCGTATGAAACAGAATTATAAGACAAGTATTACTGTATATGACTGCAGAATGTGTAGGCAAACACTCCTGACATTGCATCAGGGTTGGTGCAAGCTTCTTGTGGCCTTGATGGATAAACATGGTGTGTGTCAACAATTGTAGGCCACAGTGGACAAGCTGGATCAATGTTAATGTACAACTCAAACACATTCAACCAAGATTCTTGTTTGTTGAAGTTGATATTAAGGATGTCTGCTGATCTATATTCTGAGTAATAACTATTTCTAACTGGTTATATGTTTGCATTTATTTCGTTTAATGTCCAACAGACATTCCAATAATTGTGGTATATAGTAGTGTATGAAATAAGTCCCGTCAGACCGCCCGAGACGGTCTAGATTTCTGATGGATGGTCTAGATTTACAGCTAGCCACGGACGGTCTAAATATACAGCTAGCCAGACCGATGGTCTGGTAAATATTTTAGATGTTCCATACATCTGAGTAAATTCACCATATTTGGTCAGGTTAAATCCATTTTGGGCTGGTAACATTTTGAAGTTACCAGCCCTGATGTCTGGCTGGATTTTTGGCTTATTTCATACCCTGTATATAGCTATGACTGAAGCAATGATGGTGATATCATAGCTTAGAGAAAGTTCCCATCAGTAGTGGGAGTAGTCTTACAATAGAAATTAACTACTTTACACTGTACCTTTGACATAAAGTCTATTATTCTCAGAAGAACCGCTTCATGTTTAGGTAGGTAGACTTTCATATGACTACAGGCATCTTTAGTACCAGCAGACATCCTTAATAGCAAGTAACAATGTGTAGATGGTCACCCTGACTGTAGGCTTTGCTGATGGACGATATTCAGTTTGGTTGTTGGGATCAGATAATCCTGAAGCTAGTCACAATATGCAAAGACTTCTTGTTTCCTCGAGGTCACGTTACATGATGTCGAACCTGGACGTGGAGGGTCAAGCTGCAAGTGATGCAGATAATGTATTGAAGATGATCCATGGTTGAACTTGGCAGTGAAATGGCTAATTTGACATTGTTTATTCACTGTGAAGACTGATATGGAATGAAACGGGGAGATGTGAATGGGGAAGAATACTTTCAATAATGTACCCTTCCTGTCAAAATCAGTTTCATAAATATACTTAAATACACACCTCGAATCTGTCCCAAAGGAGTTCAGGTGATGGTACACTGTTTGCACCATATGTCTTTGGATGAGTGCTTTCCATAGTCAGTCTGCAAGCTGTGTAGAGTAACAGCTTGTCCGCTACTACTAGCAAGTGGTCCTCATCGTCTCCTACATCTCCTCCTGTAGATGCTTCTGTTTTCAGATGAGTGCATATGACGTTCTGGAAATATCTCGTACTCCAGTGTGTCTGAAATCCCTTTTCAGGCTGAAAATAGTCCGAAAAGAACTATACTCCCTTCGTAACTACAAGCTTTTTTTGTGTAATGAAGTCACAGAATCATGTGTGGCAAGATGAGCATGAGATTATTTCCTGTCTTCCACTGGATCTCTCAATGGTAAGGTTACAGTTTCTGGAGGAGCTGAAACCCCATTGGCCAGGTCTGCTTTGACAACAGTAACAATAGTAACAATAGTAACATATGAAGTGAGTCAAACTTTAGTCTACAAGTAATTAATACAGGGTTTCTGACTTTGTGAGAAAGGGAGAGTTCATCTTGCAACTGTTCCTTTTCATCCTGATAAACTTTGTGCATGTTATGTCGTGGCCTGTAAATATTCAGGTCTGGACCAGACAATCCAGTGATGGACATAGATTGATGATGAGGTTGGTTGCAAACTATTTGCTGAACACAAATTCGCCCACCTACGATCTGCATGCTTTGCAGGGAACGGAATTAAACAAGGAATCCCCTTGGGAACCTGATCAAGGAACTACGGTGGGTCTTGCATCTGTCTGAAGACTATAGTTCGATAAAATGGATATCTGTGTACATAGACATCAGTTTGGGGAAGAGGAACTTGTTACGGCCAAGGCACCTCTGTAAATCTAAGTGTCACTGATGTATAAAGTGTATGGCTTCAGAGCTGTGGTACCTACAAGAAATGCCTGTGTGATAGAACAGCCTGAACATTGTTTCAACCACTGTAATATCATTGTCAGTTGCCATTGCCTCATGTTGACAAACAAGCTTAGAGGAAATATGCAAGACACAAATCTGAAACAAGGTTTGACAAAATGAACCTTTGAGTTGATATTGTATACTTCAGTTGTAGGAGAATGTTGAGACTGTCTTTGTCAGCATAAATAATATTCATCACGTTGTTTATCATATACACCAGGTTATTGTTGATAATAAAAACATTCAGATTCATCTTCCTGCAGTTGATGGAGCCAGGGCTACCAGTCTGTTTCAGCATTGTTTGCTTTGGAACAACAGGTGTCATGCTGACTGTTTTTTTCTCCTGTGGGATATGGTTTTAGGCCGCTTTTATTCCAGCAATATCACGGCGGGGGGACACCAGAGTGAGTGAGTTTAGTTTTTACACAGCACTCAGCAATATTGCAGCTATATGGCGCCAGTCTGTAAATAATCGAGTCTGGACCAGACAATCCAGTGATCAAAACAGCATGAGCATCGATCCGTGAACCGATGACGTGTCAACCAAGTCAGCGAGCCTGACCACCCAATCCCGTTAGTTGACTCTTACGACAAGCATGAAGATCAATATTCTAACCCGGAACTTCATGGGTAGGGGGACACCAGAAATGGGGAATTGGTCTTTGGCATGACGAGTGAACGTCTTATCCATACTGCCACCGTGGGATATGTTGAAATGAAAACAACGCTAACTGTGGTTGAAGTAACTTTATTATAGAAATCCTTACATCCAACACACCCCTGTTACAACAAGCATATGACGAACAAGTAGAAAAATATGTGAGTCCTTACCACAACCCCCTGTGGTAAAAGTGACTATCCCTAACACCTGGTATTGTCCATTGTGGGTGCCGGGGAGTCTGAATATGAACTTGCAGAGGCCTGAAGATGCAATCACCTCATCTCTTTTCTGCTACTGGTTCAATTCTTAAGATTTCAAAAAAAAAGGGACCTTGATTTAATTTTTCCGACTCCAGACATTAGGAAACACCAGCAATCTGCCCTGACAATACAATTGTTGGTTACATGACTGTACAAATTAAACTTTACCAAACCTTAACATGTGTAACTCAAGTAGATAAGTGCTGTGAAAGCTGAGGGTATGTATGTATATATTTACAACCAGAAGCTTCCCTGGTGCATCTACAACCCAACATGGTGTCTGGGATGAACAGTGACAAGCTGATGGGCTAGATGTGAAGTCAGCAGAACACGGGTTAAGGAACATGGAGGAAGCAAATGTACAGCTGTCAAGCTTTTTACATATTTCATATATTTCAAGCCCAAAAGTAACCTACAGATGACAACATCCTACAGTCCTAGCACGGATACCTGAAGTTTTGGTAAAATTATTAGATTTGCCATCCTTAAAATCCAAACTTCAAATTCCCATGGTCCTAGCTACACTTTCACACAGAGCTACAAGTAAATAAACATGTTATAACTATGTACATCTAACAAAATACCACATGCATTACATTCCTTGAAAACAGCACTGATCAAAATAGCTTTGAAGATTAGTTCATGATTAGTTCTCCTGAAATTATGATGCATCTTTGGTATTTGTGGCAGTCTTAATTGGAGATGTTACTGGTGCAGTTTCCATGTACATGTGACGTTCATCCTCTCAACCACTAACCGATGGGGAAAACTATTTTCCATTTGTGAAAAGTTGTTTTTACAGAAATTTCAACATACTTAATTCATTTCCTATTCTGAATAAAATGGACAGCACCGTAGAACAAGCATTTTGTTCAAACAGCAAACTTGTCACTCTCATCCAAAGTAGTTTTGTTTCCCTTTCTTACAGAGTATTCTCACACTAACATGTCAAACAATAAACCACAAAGTACATAGGTATGTTTTCTTTCGTACCCTAGTTACATGATCATATGGCTGATTCTAAGAGGTCAATGCTGAACTTTCCAGCAACAATGCTATGTGTAAATCACCAGAAAGCCAATGGAAAAAAGTTTAGGTGATCTGGTATGTTCAAGGTTCAACAAACTTGGAACATGATAACAAGAGTCCAACAACCACACAATCTCGGCAACAGGGTAAGTGTTTTCGGGACAAGTCAAGCACAACAACTCTATTATGCAAGGAAACAAGTCTTTTTGACACAACCAACAATACTGATACTGAAATGACCAAATATGTCAAATTCTATTGCTTCAAATTCAGTAAATTATCACAAACAATAATAACATTAAGCCATGTACAGTAGCGACTACCAAAATGGCCTATCGAAAATCAGAACCAAAAATCAGTCTTGTTTCACTGTACCACATTGCAGTCAGCTTGTGTGTGATATATCTACAAAAACACATGACCAACGCTTTGTAAGGATTCCAAGTTTCAGTATCAATGATGCTGTTTAAACAAATTAGTTTGGAATATATTGGTTCCATATGCCCATATGTATCATTTATCCCTTTCTAAGACAAATGAACAAATATTTTAGTCAGACCCATCATGATGAATACTTTCCAATAATATATATACATATATTTTTGATAATTTTTTTCAGCCCAATGACCAATGTGGTCACACGTGAGTATTTACAGACAGCTGACACCAATGAAACAGAAAACCTACAAAATAATCTCAATTTTGTTTGTTCCTGATCAACATGAAAAAATTTGAAATTTTGCTCTAATCTCACATGTGAGAGCTTTGTTCTCACGCTTAACAAACACAAACAACAACTGCATCGGCTATGGGACAGCGCTAAGCAACCTTCAGAACGCTATTACCTGCTCATGCAACTCCCAAAATTTCTTTTCAGTGTGAACAATTTCAAGTAATTAAATTCATTAAAGATACATCGTAATATAATTTATATTTTAACATGGGACATGGGCAAGCAACCATCAACCTACAAAAAAAACCCTTGTTAATGCAAAAAATGCTGTTTTCAAAGAAATCGACAGATTTCTTGAGTATACCCTTCGTATAAAAACAGGTGTCCAGATTATTGAGGGCCAGAATAGCAAGGTGATCTTGCATGATTAACTTAATATTCATTCCATTTCATAGGGGCAAGCATGCAAGGCACTAGGCAAGACCATCAACACATAAGCTTAACAGTACAATGATTGGGTTACCGATATATGCTACACTGGTTTCACCATCAGTAACAAGGGGTACCATTACACAAAGTCAAGAACCAAAATTAGGCAGAAACCAGGATAAGACTGACGCCAACAAATGCACCATTAGTTTTGTTTGTCGATTCACTGAGATGGACTGTGGTTTGTTCTGTAAATGACACCTGCTTGTTTACCGATCATACAAAACATCAATCTAAGTAGAATCTGCTGACAATAAATAACATTTTATCAAACAAAAACAAATATGTGCCTTCCAATGTTGTGTGTATTGCTTGTGATGAAAAAGCAAGCAAATATATGTGACAATGTGAATCAAAGCAATGAATATCTTTCCAAATATGCGAAGAAAAGGATCCTTAGGTTTCCTTAAGAAAAACGAGTGAGTTTGGTTTTACCCCGCTGTTAGCAATATGGCGGGGGACACCAGAAATGGGCTTCACAAATTGTACCCATAAGAGGAATCGAACCTGGGTCTTCGACGTGACGAGCAAATGCTTTAACCACAAGGCTACCCCTAAGTAAACAAGTAGGAAGATGCAAACAGTCACCATAAAAAGGAAATGCCTTTAAGTGAGGGAGCTGGGTTTGAAGAGTAACCATTTTGATGTTGATCATTGTTTACCACTTTGGTGTACTGTGTTGACAAACTTAGAAACATAATCAGGGTGAATCGGGATTCAAACCAAGTCTAGCCCGCCTGAAGGAACTTACCACTGAACTTGTAGCAATGGACCTGATATTCAGGTACAGAATGTTGCCGTTATGTGCTGTGCATATCAACAAGTGAAGCCCCACAATAACCACGATCGTCTAGAAACATATTCCTAATAAAAAACAACAGTACCAAAAAAAAGGGGGAAATGTGTAAAAATAACATATTTTAATAAAACACCCATACTAAATTTTGAAACAATTGTCCGGATTTTACTACCATTAGCTTCTAGGCTTCGGGAGCATGTTTCATCTAGGCTAGATTGAGCAAGATGTTTTACCAACACTCCTAATCTCCTAAAACAAACCAAAACAAATACAATAAAAAAATAATTACAACCACGAACATGATTTCATATCTAAGCCACAAATTGAGGATTCACCAATTCATGTCTATGTTTGCATGGAGAATTTAACAACGTAAATCTACCACATGTGGAACCGAAGAGCCTATCTGCCAACTGGCAACTTAGTATTATTACAACCTGTATGGAAAAAGTAATAAGTTGATAATTACTGCTAGCCTACATCAGAGTGTTGGGAGAAAAAGATGACACATTTGCAGCAGGTAAATGTTTACCATGTGAACATAGTCCTTATCATTTTCATTAGTACTTTGGCAAATCATAGTCATTACAGACTTTCAACTAAACTAAGTGACAGTTGGCAGCTATGATGGGGGAACAGGTTGTGTAGTCGCTGTTGGGTGGGCCGGCTGTCAGCTCTGAAAGGTGTACTGCGTCGGAATGTTTTCAGAGAACTGACAGGCCGGGAGTGTTATGATTATGCAAGCTCTGGTAAACTAGAGGACACAGGCAGTCTCATTAAAATTAGAAATATTCTTTCAGATCAAGACAGTGTCAAAATATCCAATTTTTTTATAGTTGTGTGGCTTTCATTCAGAACTGCCCTTTCATGCATATTTCTCAGATACAGAAACTGAACAGCTGCTCAGAATTTCAGCTCTCTAATCCATCCATTTTTAATGAGACTGTCAAGTGCAAGTTTCGAACTACAAAAAAGTGCATTTTATAATTGAAATTCAAAAATAGGTGACTAAAACCTGAACAACAAGTTGTTATCTTGGGAGGTATGTCAAACATGAGGAAGTGGATGCTGTTTCCATTTCAATTGAGGTTAATACTGGCAGATGTTAAACTGAACCTGTTGTTAATTGTTCAATGGAGATGATTTTATGAACAAAAATACAGGAAGAACCAAATAGTAGGGATAAAAATCAACCATCACTATATCCATTTCTTTGATTGGAAATGAATACTGATGATATCAAAATGAGTTCAAATCAACTTTGCATTGTGACAGAACAACTGCTTGCTAATTAAGCCTGTCTATATGTGTTAAAATACTGCGATGCATATCATGATGTGTTGAACTCTTTTACTGAGAGATGATTTAAGATATGGGATTTGATCCTTTAACCCTTTCACTGACAATCTCGCAGCCAGTGAAAGTGTTTGTATCTATCAATGAAAGGATGAAAAGTACAAGTGAATCTAAAACTCAATTAATCACAGAGAACTTATAACTGAGGGTCACCCTTCCCTCGCTCCTATTAACCCTGTCAATGACAAAGCTTGACCAAGTGACTTGATCTTGTCGTCAGTGACAGGGTTAAATGTTATTTTCACATGTACACTTGATTTTATTTGTTCTTCATCTCGGCTCGAACTCGCTTGGTGACTCGTCCACATCCAATTCCAAACACAAAGATCATACACACAACTGCTGTCAAAACTCCCAGAATATAGAATTTAGCTGGGGACTCGGAAATTTGGGTGTAAATTTCTTGGAATCCTTCAATAGGTGCAACCTGAAATGAAAAAGTATACAGTTTTTTTAGTTTTGTATGTTTCTCTTAGCTTTCAAATGACTTTCATCATCTTTATAATTGGAACAGTATGAATTCTCTTAAATTGTTTGAAAAGTATTTCAGTTACATGGTGTGTTTTGGTGATATGGAAAGAACACCTAAAGTTTGGTGAGGTGCAGTGGGGTGATGTGAGGTGCAGTGGGGTGAGGTGTGAAGTAGAGTGACCGACCGAGTTTGGTTTTACGCCTCTTTTAGCAATATTCCAACAACATCACGGCGGGGGACACCAGAAATGGGCTTCAAACATTGTGCCCAGTGAAGTAGAGTGATGCAAGGTGGGGTGATGTGAGGTGTGGTGTGAGTGTGGTGAAGTGAGAGTGGCACTTAAGGTGGAGTGATGTGAGGTGGGGGGTGATGTGGTGAGGTGGTGCAGTGGGGTGAGGGTGGCAGGTGGGGGTGGGGTGAGGTGAGGTGCAGTGGGGTGAGGTGTAGTGAAGTAGAGTGGCACAAGGTGGGGTGAGGTGAGGTGCAGTGGGGTGAGGTGTGGTGAAGTAGAGTGACACAAGGTGGGGTGATGTGAGGTGAGGTGAGGTGCAGTGGGCAGTGGGGTGAGGTGCAGTGGGGTGTAAGTGCAGGTGGGGTGATGTGGGGTGAGGTGTGGTGAAGTAGAGTGATGCAAGGTGGGGTGAGGTGAGGTGCAGTGGGGTGAGGTGTGGTGGTGAAGTAGAGGTGGGGTGAGGTGGGGTGGTGAGGTGCAGTGGGTGGGGTGAGGTGTGTGTGAAGTAGAGAAGTAGAGAGGTGATGCAAGGTGGGGTGAGGTGTGGTGCAGTGGGGTGAGGTGGGGGTGATGTGGGTGTGGTGGTGAAGTAGAGTGATGCAAGGTGGGGTGAGGTGAGGTGCAGTTGGGAGGTGTGGTGAAGTAGAGTGATGCAAGGTGGGGTGATGTGAGGTGCAGTGGGGTATGGTGAGGTGCAGTGGGGTGAGGTGCAGTGAAGTAGAATGATGCAAGGTGGGATGATGTGAGGTGCAGTGGGGTATGGTGAGGTGCAGTGAAGTAGAGTGACGCAAGGTGGGTTGAGGTGAGGTGTGGTGAGCAGCAGTGGGGTGAGGTGAGGTGTGGTGAGGTTTAACTGACCTGAGCAGCATATTCCCACATCTCCTTCCTGTTGTGCAGCATGGTCCGACACTTGTCTGACATAGACTTGGGGTCTTCTTCCAGCACAGACAGCAGACAGGACATCACTGAAACACACCACCACTCATGTAGGGTATCCCCCTTTACTTCATCTACAGTGGTACACACTTCGTCATGATTACAACTCCATTGAATGTGGGCTGTCAAAAGAACACATCTGCCTTGAACAAAGGCTACCTACTGTACACATCTGCCTTAAACAAAGTCATATACTGTAAACATCTGCTTTGAACAAAGTCATATACTGTAAACATTTGCCTGAAATATTTGCTCCATACATCTGCCTTGAACAAAAGCTTTCTAATGTATACATACTTCTGCCCTCTCCAGCACGCACACCCCGACAGAGTCTATTCAGCTCCTTCTGACAACCAATCTTCAGAACGGGGTCTACGTTGACATCAATCTCCTCTTCTTGAATTAAGTAGGACACTTCCTGCAACACCAACTACCCGTTAGAGACCATCACAAGATACAACACTCAGTAATACCTGAATGCACCTGTATTTACATATATAAACATATCATATGAAATACCAGTCACATAGTCTGCCTGAAACCAACACATCACCATTCTGCTCTCTGCTCCTCATGGAGGTGAGGTGAAATTGGGTTTAACATCGTGCTTGAGAATATTTCGCTCATATGATGACGTGCATGTGTGTGTATGTGTATGTGCGGCTGCTTGTACTAGCCCAGACGTAAGCTGGTTTTATAGTGCTAGCCCACTGAGATACCATGCCGCAGTGAAGCATGGATACCCCTCTCAGACACATTATACTGACTCCGAGCCGACCAGTCCTTGTTGTACCCATTAATGCCGAGGACCAGGGAGGGACCAACAAGTACCATATTTTAACGTCTTTTGGTATGACGCGGTCGGGGATTGAACCAACGACCTTCCGCTCTCCAGGCGGACGCTCTAACCACTACACCATGGAGGCGGTCTGCTCCTCATTGAAGACAAGCATGGCACCAGTGAGCTACTGTGCCCAAAACATCATTCAACCTTGGATGACCATGGAGGGGAAGACTGGGGCACACTTCTACATGTTACTAGAAATACATTCTACACAGATCACCCTGGAGGTGAAGACTAGGGCATAATTCAACATAGTATTTGGGATCACTAAGGTACAACAGGACATTCTGTGGGCCTGGGTCCCGTTCCTCAAAGCGATCATAGTGCTAATATGATCGTAACTCCCATTCTTTAACATAGACTTACAACAGTCGTGGCGCTATGATCTCTTTGAGGAACGGGGCCCTGATCTACTTTGGAACACCTTGGATGGGATGGATATTGGAATCCCTACCTTGATACAATTCTTGTTTGTCAGCTTCCGTTGACGGAACTTTTCTTTGAGACATTCCTCGACTTGTCCTTTCCCAGCTTCTTTGATCTCATCATTGTCCTTGCCATCAGCTTCCATCATCTTATCTTTGCAGTGCACCCTTATCTGAATACACAATCATAAATCATACAACTGTTCAAATTCTCTCACAGGTCCAGAATGACACACACAGAACACAGATAGGAACAGTGAGGTGAGGTGAGGTGAAATTGGATTTAACGTCGTGCTTGAGAATATTACGCTCATATGACAACGTGCATGCGTGTGTGTGTGTGTGTGTATGTGCGGCTGCTTGTACTAGCCCAGACTTAAGCTGGTTTGATAGTGCTAGCCCACTGAGATACCATGCCGCAGTGAAGCATGGATACCCCTCTCAGACACATTATACTGACTCCGAGCCGACCAGTCCTTGTTGTACCCATTAAAGCTGAGCGCCAGGCAGCCAAGTACCAAATTTTAACGTCTTTTGGTATGATGCGGTCGGGGATCGAACTAGCGACCTTCCGCTTTCCGGGCGGACGCTCTAACCACTACACCACGGAGGCGGTCAGATAGGAACAGTAACACGGCCATTCAGGAATACAGTAATACTGCACACCTCTACAAACAGCCCAGACTGAGTTTAGTTTAATGCAGCTTTTAGCAATATTACGGTAAAATCACTTTAGGGAACACCAGAAATGGGATTCACACATTGTACCCATGAAGCGGAATCGAACCCAGGTCTTCGGTGTGGAGAGTGAATGGTCAAACCACTATGCTAAGCCCACTGCCCATCAAGCAGCCCAGAGGACAATGACAGAACATCAACCTAAGGCAGTGGAAAACAGTTACCCTTAACTTGGGACTATTAACACAGCTTACCTCACTCATGCATGCCTTCTCCAGGACGGGAGCCTCGCGGATATCTCCTGCCGCCTGCTGGATGATCTCGGTAATCTCCATATCACATTCCCGGGACAGTCGCTAGACAGATGTATAGCAGTTAACACCATGAGAGCATGTTATTATCAGCGAACATGTACCAGTAATTGAACAGGGCTGTACAAGGTAATGTGATATTCCATATCTTCAGATATTCTTTTGAAAGTCATAGTGCTTAGGGTCCCATGGTCTCATTGCACAAAGTCATATTTGTGCTACAGCTGTCATATACCATGACTGTCTCAGTGCAAATATCACTTTGGGAAACAGAGACCATGAATGTAAACACTATAAATCTTTCCCCTAATGTTTTCTTTGCACACTGCTGAAATATTTGACATTGAGAAAATCTTGTATAAACTGCAGAAATAGGACTACATGACTGGACACAAGCATTAGCTCATTTCTAATGTCCAAGACTACTATCGCATCATTACACTGACGACTATGCCCAACCTGTGATCTCCAGAAGTCGTGTATTCTGAGTTGTAATCATGGTTTTAAGACTATGGCAAAACTATCCTTTAAAACATAATATTGCCACAGATTTCCAAAATTTGGACGATGTATGAAGTATAAATCTAATGAAACAATGATATTCCAAAATACATGGCAAAAAGTGATTTCTTTGGAAAAAAAATATCCAACCCACCAACCAATATTTCTTTCACCAACATACGAGTCAGGAATCTAATAGTTTTTAACTAAACATTTGACTTTGTTTTGCTGTTTAACGCCACACTCAGCAATATTCCAGCTATATAGCGGCGGTCTGTAAATAATCGAGTCTTGGCCAGACAATCCAGTGATCAACAGCATGAGCATCGATCTGCGCAATTGGGAACCGATGACATGTGTCAACCAAGTCAGCGAGCCTGATCACCTGATCCCATTAGACACCTCTTATGACGAGAATAGGTTACTGAAGATCATTTCTAACCCAGATCTTCACGGGTTCTTTAATTAAACAGATACAGTAAATGGCATATTGGGAGATATGTGCAGTCATATACTGTCAGTTACCTTGGCAGCGTATTGCTTCTTGAGGCAGCTGATGACAAGACCTTCAAGTTCCACATCCTGTTTGTGCTGATCCACCACACCCGCACAGAACTTGCCAATGTCCAGGTGACACGCCTTCCTCAGGGAGGGATTCAGCCGATAGTCTATGAACACAAACAATGGGACAGTGGTAGTCTATGTGTATACGTGAGTGAGTTTAGTTTTATGTTGCACTCAGCAATATTCCAGCTATATGGCAGCGGTCTGTAAATAATCAAGTCTGGACCAGACAATCCAGTGATCAACAGCATGAGCATCGATCTGCACAATTGGCTATGTGTATAGGATAAATGAGGCATTGTGTGGTGATGGTATCTTATTTATATCATATTTAGTTCCAGAGGAGGGGTGAAGCTGCACAGCCCCTAGACTAACGCTTAGTCTCTAAATACTTATAATTTTGATGAGTGAATGCTTTAACCAATGAGCTACCCCAACACCTCGAAAATCAGTGACGACACCAGGTGTTCACGAAAAGGGTAAGCATATCCTGCCCTACCGGAAGCACCCGCCATTCACATATATTTCCTAAAATGTAAGTATTTACAGCCTGATGAGACTGCAGTATTCCAGCAATGAAATGACAGACTATAAACAAACTTGACAAGCAAGCGATCAATGAACCAGAGTGAGTGAGTGAGTTTAGTTTAGTTTTACGCCACACTCAGCAATATTCCAGAGGTCTGTAAATAATCAAGTCTGGACCAGACAATCCAGTTATCAACAGCACGAGCATCGATCTGCACAATTGGAACGATGACGTGTCAACCAAGTGAGCGAGCCTGACCATCCAATCCCATTAGTCGCCTCTTACGACAAGCATGGGTTACTGAAGATCAATATTCTAACCGGACCTCAATTAACCAGAAAATCCAGTTCTTAATTTTGAATTACAACTTCTGTGTAGAGGACCAGAGATTCTGCTGCTTACTAGAAAAGAAAAATGTTTTGCAAACTGATTGGTTTTACAACACAGTTAGGTCAGTTTAACTTTCTGGTTGGGTGACATGTTTAAACAGAATAACGCAAATTAAATAAGTACCAAATTTTGACTGACTGACTGAGTTTGGATTTACGCCTCTTTTAGCAATATTCCAGCAATATCACGGCGGGGACACCAGAAATGGGCTTCACTCATTGTACCTATGTGGGGATTCGAACCCGGGTCTTCGGTGTGACGAGCCAACACTTTAACCACTAGACTACCCAACCGCCCCACCAAATTTTGAAAAGCATCCCACACTTGTAGTCTGAGTAAATGACCACTCCTGTCATCTGGGGTCTGTTTAGGTGCCGTTAATGTTCACCATACCAATGTCCCCTCACCTTTACTCTGCATGATTTCTCTCGGATCACTACCGATCTGCACTTGGCATCAAAGTCAGGGTTATTCTTTTCTTTTTCAGACAGCGAAGGATTTGTGGCTGATCATCATCAGGATCACAGTAATCCTGAAACAACAAGTGAGTGAGTGAGTTTGGTTTTACGCCGCTGTTAGCAATATTCCATCAATATCACGGCTGGGGACACCAGAAATGGGCTGAAACAACAAAGAACATTATCTTGTAGATGACTTTACTTTGCATGCCTTCAGCAAGTTTGTTTGTTATTTAACTCTGCACACAACAATATTTAAATATTCAAGTCTGTAAATGATTGAGTCCGGACCAAACAATCCAGTGATCGACATCATGAGCATCGATCTATACATTTGGGCATGTGTCAATCAAGTCAGCAAGCCTGACCACCCAATCCTGTTAGTCGTCTCTTATGGACAAGCATGGGTTGCTGAAGACCAATTCTGACCGGGATCTTTTCAACACTAACAATTGTATTTCAATTACAGTATGGCACATTACTTTCAAAACTTGACACTCTTGGTAAAAGAATGAGTATTTTCTGCAAACCTTGATCATCCTCTTGCATGCAGACAGCAGCCCATAGTCAGCGATAGCAAACTCATCTTTCTGAAGGATGAACAACATAAATGTTAAAGTTAAGGAAACAGAACATTGTCATACTCCAGGGTCACTACTGATGTTTTATAGTAAAGGGACAATATTACATTCCATGTGTTTTACTATTCATACAAAATGTGAAATACAACTAATGTAAATCAGGTAATTAATAATAAATTTTATAATAATTAGTCCATTCATATTGCGTTTCAGGCACACCAACAGCATGATCATAGCACAGACAGTTCATTATTACCTCGAATAAACCAAGCTGGTTCAGGTTGACTATTATTGGCAGGACTACGTTTATGGCATATTTTATCAAATAAAGATTGCAAAGTTGCCCAGTTTCCAAACATACAATTAGCAACTTCAGTAAATCTTCTGGAAAAACATCATAGCCCTTTCATATTAATTATCTACAGTATAATACAACCACTAGATTCTAAAAATCTTGAGGACAACAATTTGGAATATTTATGTTCAAGTCCAGTCGACATCAAGTGTGTGTGGTCCTGTGCGTAGAGCTCAGATCACGAATCAGTTGAAGTTAAGCAACGTCGAGCTCGGAGAGTCCTTGGATGGGTGACCATATTTGGCAGTTTGACTCCTGAGAATTTCTAGGACTTCAGTCCTGCCCCACAACGAAGCACATGTGATACTTGAGGTCTCACTTTTGGCAAGTGACTTCGTTCAAATTGTTCACCCAGCAGAAAATGGGTACCCGGTGGGATAAGTCATCTGATTCAAGCTTCCAGTGAGCAACTAGTCAGATGGATACTAGCCGCTATCTAACTGAATTATTATTATTATGAGTAACATCAGCTTACTTCTCTCTTGAAAAGTAGTCTGTGACAAGGTGGGCTCAAGCGGGACTGTTTTTTCTTCAGACATTCCATGACCTGCAACAAATAGCATATAAAGTTAAGTCATCCATATAAATCTCATTAATATAATGATATAATATATATTGTCTACCAGTCTTGTGGGACATGACATTAACTACACATAGAGCATCTGAACCTAATTTACTGTGTCAATAATCAATTAACAGTACCATACAACTGATTAATTACCTTGCAAGTATGTCATATGCATTCATTCTTTGGTCTGAATCTGTAATATGTGTTTGTTGTTTAACACCACACTCAGCAATATTCCAGCTATATGGCGGTGGTCTGTAAATAATCGAGTCGGGACCAGACAATCCAGTGGTCGACATCATGTGCATTAATCTACGCAAATGCCATGTGTCAACGAAATCAGCGTGCCTGATCACCCATTAGTCGCCTCTTACAACAAGCATGGGTTGCTGAAGACAAATTCAGTAATACCACAGGCAGGCATACATTGCAGAACACAGAACACAAACTAAAGAGTTGTCCCATTTAAATGTAGTTCTTTTGGAAAGTATTGTAGTATCAGGAGAATAGCAACATGAATCATATACATATACATATACATGTCTTGCAAATGTACTGCCAAAAGTTCATCAATCGGAGCAAGGAACATAACTTATCTACAATAAATGTTAGCATGGTACAATGAAAACATGCATTGTCACTAAGGTGACATAATCCCCCGCCGCAAATTATCACATCAAACTTAAAAAGTAATGAAAGTGAAGGTCGTAATTTAAGATGAAGTGAAATATCAACAAAAACATGACCAGTCAACCCCTCTTGATATCTGGCTCTGTAGTTGTTCAAACACACAAATATTTTCAAGACTCACTATCGCCTTAACATGAAGTTTAACATGCTGAAATCTTCAAAGTGTCACCGTGACTTTGAAAATTATGTGAAGGTCACCAAAATCGACTGGACCTTGCACCTTCCCTAGATGAAGCTTGGTGTCAAATATGAAGACAGTCCAGTGAATGGTTCTTGAGATATCTTGCTGACAATCTCTACATGCAGGTTAACATGCTGAAATCTTCAGAGAGTCACCGTGACCTTGAAAATTACGAAAAGGTCACCAAAATCAACTGGGCCCCTCACTTTCCCTGGATGAAGCCTGATGTTGAATATGAAGAAGATTCAGTCAACCGTTCTTGAGATATCTCGCTGACAAGTTTAAGCTTAACATGCAGTTAAACGTGGAAATCTTGAAAGTGTCACCGTGACCTTGAAAATTAAGTGAAGGTCACCAAAATTGACTCTCTTCTGATTCTCTTCCCTAGATAAAGCTTGGGGTTGAATATGAAGGAAATCCAGTGACCGGTTCTTGAGATATCTCACTGACAAGGGTAAAATGTCCCCTTGTGACCTTGAAATGAAAGTCAAGGTCACCAAACTTTACTGAGACCTTACTTATACTGTGATGAACCTAAGTACCAAATATGAAAAGAATCTAGTGAACGGTTCTTAAGATATTCCAATTTGTACGTGATGGACAAACGGGGCCTAATACTATATCTCCCGCTTCGTGCTAAACGCGTGGCAGGGGATAATAACAGAATGAGTCTCCGCCAAATCCACTAAGGGGTAGCCTAATGGTCAAAGCATTAACTTGGCACGCCGAAGACCCATGATCGCATCCCCACATGGGTACAATGTGTGGAATAAAAGCAGTGTAAAACCAAACTCACTCACCTGACATTCACATGACAGGTAGATTTCCGCCCTTCTGATTGGCCCACTTGGTCACATCACAGCTTTGACGCTAAGCGATGTCAACCTCGCCACGTCACGAGAGGTTGATATAACAATCCAAGCACCTCCCGTGGCTAAAATAGAATTTGGGATATTCCAGCTGTGAACTCCGCACTGCGTGCGTCACGCTAGATAAGGAAGCGAGGCATCGCTTCGTCCCTGTGACTGTGTTGGTTTAGAGTTACGTCCCATCTGTATCAAAATGGCAGACGACATAACACCACGAAGATTCATGACTGTGTCACAGAAAAACAGGTATTCAGTACTTTTGTCTTATTATAAAACAATTATTGACTTCAGTTCGGTTGATCCAATGATTTATCGACCTTGGACATGTGATATTCACCTCAATCTTCAACAGCATGAGCATCCTAAACACGATGATATACTCATTGATTTCCTGGAAGTAACGATATAACTCAAGAAGCAATCCCATACCCCTAGAAATAGGATCTAGCCCTAGAAGCATTGATACACTTCTTGATATCCTGGCAGTAGTGATTTGCCTGAAGAAGCAATCACATACCTCCAGAGATATATTATAGCCTAACAAGCATAAAATACCTCTTGATAAACTCATAAAAGTAATGATATCGCCGTTGAAGCAATTATATTTCTGTGGATGGTAAAAGCTGTCAGTTTCTTCATTTTCCAGGCATGTAACCCCAACCAGTAAATAGTGTAGACAATTCAGTGGTCGATATCATGAGCACTGATATGTCCCTGAGCTGGACCATCCAACTAGGGGTGAAACAGTACACTCTTACCACGATGCTTTATGTATTACGGTAGAAGGCCTTCAATTTGGTGCGTTTCGGTTCGGTATAAAAGATATAATCATAATACCGAAAATCAACAAGAGCCAAACCTTACATCGTTTAATAACATGGTAAAAAATAATCATAATCTTTGGTATTTTGAATGAACAAAACTGTCATTTTATGACTAGATAGACTGACTGACTGAGTTTGGTTTTACGCCGCTTTTAGCAATATTCCAGCAACATCACGGCGGGGAACACCAGAAATGGGCTTCACAAATTGTACCCATGTGGGGATTCGAACCCGGGTCTTCGGCGTGACGAGCCAACGCTTTAACCACTAGGCTACCCCACGGCCCCTATGACTAGATAGAAATGACAGAACAAAAACACCAAAAATACCGACATTTTGGACTGCATTACGGTATACCGAACTGAAGGAAAAACACCATGGTTCTACTAATACCGCAGTATACCGTTTCACCCCTACATCCAACATCCTTTAAGTCACAAAGGCTTTTCAGGATCTGCCCATTTGTACTTTGACTCTCATTCTGTGTCGTTTGGTGAACCACAAATAACTGCATGGAATTATTGCATAAAATTCCCAAGAAATTCTTGTCCCCAAAAGGTAAAGTTGTACTTTCTGCGATATTTAGCTATTAAGCAGGGCCTCATGTTAAGCCAACTACTAGCGTGGGCTCACCCTCTGCAGGATCTGAAGTCGAAGCTGGTGGCGACACTGCTTCTCAATTCTGTGATCCTTATCCAACAAGGTGTCATTCCGAACATGTTCGCTGAGACACACCACAACATCTGACCTAGAATAAAGAGGAGAATAATGAAAACATATATCAAAGAATGTTTTGTGCCGCAGACATTATAATTTCAAAATACCCCTGTGGCCTGGAGATAACAGAAGCTGCTTCAGATAAAGTGTCAGCTTTAGCAGCAAGTCACCCTAGTTAATACTGTTGATTTGTTTGTTTGTTCTTTAATATTCCAGCTATATGGAAGGTCTGTAAATAATTAAGCCTGGACCTGACAATCCAGTGATCAACATCATGAGCACTGATCTACACACTTCGGATATGAGTGAGTTTAGTTTTATGCAGCATTCAGCAATATTCCAGCTATATGGCGGCAGTCTGTAAATAATCGAGTCTGGACCAGACAATCCAGTGATCAACAGCATGAGCATTGATCTGAGCAATTGGGAACCGATGAAATGTGTCAAACCAAGTCAGCGAGCCTGACCACCCGATCCTGTTAGTCGCCTCTTAACGACAAGCATAGTCGCCTTTTGTGGCAAGAATGGATTGCTGAAGACCTATTTTACCCCGGATCTTCACGGGTCTGGGATACGATGACATGTGTCAACCAAGCCAGCGAGCCTGTCCACCCCATTCCGTTAGTCGCCTCTTACGACAAGCATGGGTTACTGAAAACTAATTCTAACCCGGGATCTAGTTAATACTGAGTATTTGATTTTGTTTAAACATGATCAAACCTCCATGATACAGGATTAAAATTAAACTAATTGAAATGCTTTACAAGCCATGAATCATTGAACATATACACACTTTGTAATGGCTCGGACAAAACCTGTTTTCCTTTGCTCCACACAGCACCTAGACTTTCAGCTATATGATGGGTCTGCATACAATCAAGTCTGGCCCAGATTGTTCAATGACTGACATCGTGAACATTGATCAATTCAACAGCGATATGATCACATGTAGTTACCCAAGTCACTGTGCCAGACCACCCAACCGATTCCATGCTACTCACAACACTGGTAGCCTGGGATTCATATTCTGACCCCATGGTGAAACAAAAAGGTGAGTTCTTTCTTAATTTCAGCAACTTCATTATGCTAAGAATGTGCTTCGTGTATTGTTTTGTTTGTTGTTTAACGCCAACTCAGCAACATTCAAGTTATATGGCAGCAGTCTGCCAATCCAGTGATCAACAGCATGAGCATTGATCTACACCATTAGGATACAAGCATCAACAAAGTCACCCGATCCCATTAGTCACCTATTAGGACAAGCATGGGTTGCTGTAGACCAATTCTAACCCAGATTTTAATGGGTATCATGCACTATAGTGCTGTGAGAAATCAAACCCAGGAAAATGTCATTACTTGTCAAACCTGACACCCCTAACTCATCATGAACTATATTACCACACAAGCCTGCAGCATGGAGCGTTTGAAACAAGGTGTACTTACTTTGTTTTCTTGTAGTTGCAGTACTTCGATACAGCTTTTTGACAAGCCTCCTTGAATTTGTGATTGAACTTGAAGTCCTTCTGTGTTATCTGTAAAAGAGCGGACATTATACAAATGTTGGACAAACACTTCTCACATCATCTGGCATCAAGTGTATCAGACTGACTGACTGACTGAGTTTGGTTTTACGCCGCTTTTAGCAATATTCCAGAAACATCACGTCGGGGGACACCAGAAATGGGCTTCACACATTGTACCCATGTGGGAATTCGAACCTAGGTCTTCAGCGTGACGAACAACGCTTTAACCACTAGGCTACCCCACCGCCCCTCAAGTGTATCAGAGAGTGTGTTTATAGAACACCTTTCTCAATACTCACCAATAGCATGGCATGGGACAACGGGAATGGTCTTCAGATGTTGACCCCAACAAACAATAGTAGGGTAGCTATTGGGTGAGTGAGTGAGTTTAGTTTTACGCCACACTCAGCAATATTCCAGCTACATGGTGGCAGTCTCTGAATAATTGAGTCTGGGCCAGGCAATCCAGTGATCAACAGCATGAGCAACCATCTACACAACTGTGATACGATGACATGTGTCAACCCAGTCAGCGAGTCTGACCAATTGATCCCGTAAGTCACCTCTTACGAGAAGCATGCGTTACTGAAGACCATTTTAAACCTGGATCTTCACGGGCCAAATTGTAGTGTACATATCCAGGCAGCTAAGTAAGTGAGTGAGTGAGTTTAGTTTTACGCCGCACTCAGCAATATTCCAGCTATATGGCGGCGGTCTGTAAATAATCGAGTCTGGACCAGACAATCCAGTGATCAACAGCATGAGCATTGATCTGCGCAATTGGGAACCGATGACATGTGTCAACCAAGTCAGCGAAACTGACCACCCGATCCCGTTAGTCGCCTCTTACGACAAGATAGTCGCTTTTTATGGCAAGCACATGGGTTGCTGAAGACCTATTCTACCCCAGATCTTCACGGGTAGCTAAGTAAAGTAAGTGTACTAACCAGCTGGTGATGTTCCACTCCAGCAGCACACTTGGAGTCCATCTCATGGTTGTTCTTGTGCTCGATGAGACACTCCAGCACATCCCCGGGATCAGCATCACTATCCAGCAGCTCCTGCAACAAGAGATGGAACGTGGGACTCCATCAACCAATCCTTCTTTCAGATCAGTTCATCTTCTTCAAAATGACTGACTGCTATCTAAAGATAATTTGTAATGATGCAAAAGAATGTCATATCAAATGAGATGCAGTTGGGATGCATGTGCTGAACATGTCTTTCTTCCCTTTCTAAACAAGGTCAGGGTGGAAATAACTAGGGGTGGGTATTGCAAAGAATTTTCATATCGCGATATATTGCGATGCGAAAGCATGTATTGCGATATGTATTGCAATATATTGCATGAAGTATTTTTAAACACAAAAACTACTTATAATCAAGTTAATTCTTGATTTATAGAGCAAAAACACAACAAAATCACTATGCTTGATTAAGCTTTAATAGCAACTTTTAATCATGATAAAATATAAATGTGAATAATATTTGGCACAAATGAAACAAGGACATATCCGAAGATTTCCGAGTGTTACGAAGTTTTCCGAATGTAAGTCAAAATACCGGTTTTCGATCAGCGTATCGCAATACGTATCGTTTTCAGGTCTAAACCGGTTATATTGTGCAGCCCTAGAAATAACCCATTGCCCGACGTTCCAGTCCAGTGTTTTTTTCTGTCAGACAAGCAAATTTGAATATCACACTGTACCGGTGTCCAGTTGACTTTCCAATGTTAATTATGTTGTTTATTTAAAAAATCAACAAGAAAATCGGTCAGTATAGTGGAAAAATTATCAGGGCAAGTAATTTTACATGTGCCACTGTACCGGAGTACACTAGCAATTTTGAAGTTATTTCCACCCCTGAAGGCCTCATCACAAGTGACAAGGGAGGCCACTCTCCGGCACAAACACAAAAATGCATAGCCAGCAAATTAAACACATCGTTTACTTCCATCATAAAACATTCCAAATAACAAAGAAAAAGAAAAAGTGGAATTTTTATTTAAGTCATGGCTCAGGGCACTGAATGCATATCATTTAATAAAGTAACCCAAAAATGTAACCATGACAACAAAGTCTGGCAGAAAATAAACATCGTCATGGCAGCAATCTTAAAAAAACAGCCTGAAGTACAAAAGTTTTTCAACAGTATTCCGGGTATATCACCAGCGGCCTTTAAGTAACTGAGCCTGGAGCTGGCAAAATAGTCATTGACTGAGTGAGAAAGGATTCATGAAGTCAGGGAATGAAGACAATTAATCAGCCTGGGTCCATGATCCCAACCTGTCTTACTCCATACTTTATCATAGACTTATGAATGTCATAGCGCTCAAACATTCTGTGGATCTGGGCCCAGGACCAGATCAGATTTTCAACAGTCACTTCTTCGGACAAACAGAGCATACAGGGAACACATTTGTTCAGTACAAAAGTCATAGAACCTCCTGATCAAGGACACCTGCATTACAGCACCTCATCATGGGAACACTTACATTAAAAGCACCCCCACCATGGGAACATTTACATGACAGAACCCCATCACGGGAACACTTACATGAAAGCACCCCCATCATGGGAACACTTACATTACATTAAAAGCACCCCATCATGGGAACACTTACATGACAGAACACCCATATCATGGGAACACTTACATTACAGCACCCCCAGAACCCCATCATGGGAACACTTACATTACAGCACCCCATCATGGGAACACTTACATTACAGCACCCCATCATGGGAACACTTACATTACAGCACCCCATCATGGGAACACTTACATTACAGCACCCCATCATGGGAACACTTACATTACAGCACCCCATCATGGGAACACTTACATTACAGACACCCCTTACATATCATGGGAACACTTACATTACAGCACCCCATCATGGGAACACTTACATTACAGCACCCTATCATGGGAACACTTACATGACAGCACCCCATCATGGGAACACTTACATTACAGCACCCCATCATGGGAACACTTACATTACAGAACCCCATCATGGGAACACTTACATTACAGCACCCCATCATGGGAACACTTACATTACAGCACCCCATCATGGGAACACTTACATTACAGCACCCTATCATGGGAACACTTACATTACAGCACCCCATCATGGGAACACTTACATTACAGCACCCCATCATGGGAACACTTACATTACAGCACCCCATCATGGGAACACTTACATGACAGCACCCCATCATGGGAACACTTACATGACAGCACCCCATCATGGGAACACTTACATGACAGCACCCCATCATGGGAACACTTACATTACAGCACCCTATCATGGGAACACTTACATGACAGCACCCCATCATGGGAACACTTACATTACAGAACCCCTTGATAAAGACTCTTACTAGTAATCTCATTGTTCAGTGATGCATCAATGGCAAGCTCCATTATTATTTTAAAGTTGCACTGACATTGCATGTAAAGCCTTATTCTAAAGCCTGTTTAAAATCTATTTGGTCCTATGACAAATGTGAGACCATCCTCTGTCTTCGTAGTATGTTACATTCTGAGTAGGATGTGCAAGAGCATGTTTAGGTTTTACTTCATTGGTGAAAAGTCATCCCTAACATATACATTACAGAGCCTCATCACGAGGACACCAACAACTTTCAATGGCACTGTATATCTATATTTTGTTATACATGAAAGTGGGAAATATAAGATTTAAATTTTAAAAAAAAAAAAAAAAACTTCCAATGGCAAAGGCAAAACAGGTTTTTGAAGCGTTACCCAAAGATCCCAAAGAAACTGCATCCGCATGGAAAAAAAAGAAGAAAAATGAATAAATTTCAAATAGTCCATGCTAAAACACACAGAGAAATACTAACTTTAAGTGTACAACTTACTAAAAATATTAACACCAATCTTACTAAACCATAACCTCAGTAATTCGATATGTGGAAGATTAACTGCAAATAGTTAAGACTGATAATTCCAATGATGCCTGAACAAACAAGGCCTTTAATCCTCTACAACAAAATATACTGACATACATGATTTATTTACAAATATTCTAAGTCGTATCCAAATGCACTATTAGTTATATGTAGAAAACTATGGTACGTGCTAAGTGGGTAATTGAGTGCAACCACTGGCCCAAACTGTTAACTTGGAAGCTGGAACATTTCCAGTGTTCTTGTTTGTGGTTCTTTATCATGGATTATCGCTAATGTGGAGTTAGTGAGTGAAGTGCACACCAGAGATGGGCGTCACACGTTGTACCCATGTGGGGGACTGAACCCTGGTCTTTGGCGTGCCGAGTGAACGCTTTGACCACTAGGCTAACCCATCACCCCACGTGATTGTGGAATCAAAACTGTAAGTACAGATTATTTACATCATTTCTCTTTATGATATCTACAAGAGGTTGTGTTAGACAACTGGATGGGGTTACAATACAACCACACAGTCCCAACTGTCAATGAGAAGTGCTGAATTTCCCAGCATTTATGCTTAGATTCTGTTCTACCTATTATATCTACACATTAGCAGTAATAAAGAAATGAAACAAGTAACTTATTGATACTATTTTCTCCATGTGATATTTCAAAAAGGACACCTGTATTGTCATGCTACATGCAGGGGTGGAAATAACCCATTGCCCGACGTCCGAGTCCAGTGTTTTTTTCTGTCGGGCAAGCAAATTTGTATATCACACTGTACCGGTGTCCAGTTGACTTTCCAATGTTAATTATGTTGTTTATTTAAAAAATCAGCAGGAAAACGGTCAGTATAGTGGAAAAAGTATCAAGGCAAGTGACATTACATGTGCTCTACTGTTCCGGAGTACACTATCAATTTTAAAGTTATTTCCACCCCTGTACATGTATTAGATAAATACCTTTGTGTTTAAACATGTGATGACTTCATGTGAAAGGATTAACCCATTAGATTGTATTTTGATCATTATGTCCAGAAAAGATAGGTTGCTAAATCCATGAGAAGGTACGGCATAAAGGATTTCATATACATGTTTCCAAGGCATAATATTTAAACATTTATTTTGTTGCATGAAATTAATTTTGTTTCCGTTAACAAAATATCACAAAATCTATCAATTTTCGTATCTCATACACATTTCTCATCTACGCATCCCAAGATTGAAAATGTGACAGATAATGGTAGATACATTTAACATACTTTTGCAAAACTACTGGGATAAGTACAAGCGGATAGAAATGTTTACTTACCTTAAACAAACGCGGGGATACCTTTATTGTTTACAAGACATAAACTTTACAAAACATACGGAAAATGTTTTGCTCGCTTCTCCAGTGAACAGAGACAAAACAAAACTTATATGGATAGGCTCCATGAAAACATCAAAATTGAAACTATTCCAGCAATGGATTTGAACTGGACTGTTAGGTATTCAGCCTTGAATAGATGACATGATTGATACTAACTTAATAATAATACCGAAAATAAGTTTAAACAATGTGCAGCATTAATGACACTATGGACAACGAGAAATTTCACTCCACTTGGCAGAATTACCATTCTTAGATCATTCATTCTGCCAGCTGTTCTCAGCTCTCCCAAATCCTCCCGACAATAAACGTGAAACAAGTCATTTCACATTTTTGAGACAAACTTTAAAGATCACAAATAATGTAATACTAATATGGTGGAATAAAATAACCCAAAATAGAGTGAGCAAGTGAGTTTCGTTTACAATGCTTTTACCAACATTCCAGCAATATCATAGCGGGGAAAGACACAAGAGATGGGCTTCACACATTGTACCCATCTGGGGAATCGAACCCGGGTCTTTGGCGTGACAGGAAACGCTTTAACCACGAGGCCATCCCACAACCTCTCCAAAAATAGAAGAAATACAAGTTCAGAAGGTTTTGACGATAAGACGTTGCCTTTATAAGCAATTCAAAATGGCGATACTTATTTTTTCTAAATACACATACTAATTAGGTTGAAAATGTATATGGCATAAACAGCAAACAACACAGGGCCTGTATACTGTCACAATAATGCTTCTACACAGATTTGTTAATATCATAGTGGTTTTAACAGACAGACTCAAAATGACTAATGTAAAGCCTCAGACATCATGTCCTAGAATGTTTGGCTTAATGATAACATACAAGTGGGACAACAAGCAGTTTGTATAAGAAAGGTATAAGATTCATAAATGACTTGACAGTTAAAATGGATTGTTCCTTACTTTTACAGAATTTGAAGAGAAGTACAGTATAAAAAACAATTACCTCACCTAATATAGTGTAACCTAGTCCATTAAACAATACTGTCGACAACAAAATGTTCAAGAATTTTAAAACTGACCCACCCACTCCTAATTTTTCGCTATCTTACTTATTAAAAACAGAAAAAGGTTCTCAATATTTCTACCAAATTATCAGAGAATAACATACCAATAAAATTGAATATTTCAACAAATGGGAACGTTTTCTAATGTGTAAAATCTGTGAATCAAATCATGTAGCTTACAATTTAATACCATTAAAGTGTACAAAATCTAGTAAATTACAAAGGTTACAATGTCATATATTGCACCATTTTACCTACAAGTTCTCTCCTACATAAAATAGGATACGTAGACAATGACTCGTGTAGTTACTTTAACTTGGAAAATAATCAATTCCCTCCCCCTCTGGGAATGCTATATGGTCCACAACCTCATGAGACCCCACAATGTCATGAGTGACACACTGACTTTTCATCGTGAAATGAACGACAGGTGGCCTTAGGGCTGGGACGATTCACCGATGCATTGCAATACATTTAAGTTTGATACAGCTATCGTATCGTTGACTGTTATATCGATACAAAACGATACACAAGTTTTTTTCAAAACAGTATTATCTTAAACATGTAAAAGTACATAAGAAAAAAACTTTGAATTCATATTTATCAACAGATAACTTTCAAGTGGTGTGTGACATGTAGTAGCGATAATGTTTTACAAGCTGATATTTTTTTCGTAGGCTTCGTCTATCGTGTGAGATATCTCTGGGAACTTTTGTAGCGCTATAACTGCCGTAAGTCTATGCTACAGTATAGGAAGTACGTTCGCTATGAGAAAAGGTACGAGACCTTTGTGAAACGGAGCCCAGGTGTCAGGGCAGTAAAAGTTTCTGGTTGACTGGTGTTGAAAGAGTTAAGGACACTGGCATTACAGAACCTTGATGATTGAGATGCTTACATTACAGAACCTCTTGATAAAGACAACTGCCTCACAGAACCTCTTGATGGGGAAACTATATTACAGAACATTGATAAAGAAATGTATATTACAGAACCTCTTGATGAAACACCTACATTACATTATATCTTAATGAAACCTCTATTACAGAACCTCTTGATAAAGAAACATATATTACAGAACCTCTTGATGAAGACACTTATATTACAGAACCTCTTGATAAAACACCTATATTACAGAACCTCTTGATGAAGACACCTATATTACAGAACCTCTTGATGAAGACACTGTATATTACAGAACCTCTTGATGAAGACACCTATATTACAGAACCTCTTGATGAAGACACCTATATTACAGAACCTCTTGATGAAACACCACCTACCTTACAGAACCTCTTGATAAACCTCACCTATATTACAGAACCTCTTGATGAAGACACCTATATTACAGAACCTCTTGATAAAACACCTATATTACAGAACCTCTTGATGAAGACACCTATATTACAGAACCTCTTGATGAAGACACCTATATTACAGAACCTCTTGATGAAGACACCTATATTACAGAACCTCTTGATGAAGACACCTATATTACAGAACCTCTTGATAAAACACCTATATTACAGAACCTCTTGATGAAGACACACCTATATTACAGAACCTCTTGATGAAGACACCTATATTACAGAACCTCTTGATGAAGACACTTATATTACAGAACCTCTTGATGAAGAGAACCTCTTGATGAGACACCTATATTACAGAACCTCTTGATGAAGACACCTATATTACAGAACCTCTTGATGAAGACACCTATATTACAGAACCTCTTGATGAAGACACCTATATTACAGAACCTCTTGATGAAGACACCTATATTACAGAACCTCTTGATGAAGACACCTATATTACAGAACCTCTTGATGAAGACACCTATATTACAGAACCTCTTGATGAAGACACCTATATTACAGAACCTCTTGATGAAGACACCTATATTACAGAACCTCTTGATGAAGACACCTATATTACAGAACCTCTTGATGAAGACACCTATATTACAGAACCTCTTGATGAAGACACCTATATTACAGAACCTCTTGATGAAACACCTATATTACAGAACCTCTTGATGAAGACACCTATATTACAGAACCTCTTGATAAAACACCAGAACCTCTTGATATTATATTAGAAACCTCTTGATGAAGACACTTATATTACAGAACCTCTTGATAAAACACCTATATCATAGAACCTCTTGATGAAGACACCTATATTACAGAACCTCTTGATGAAACACCTATATTACAGAACCTCTTGATGAAGACACTTATATTACAAAGCTTTGGACACAGAAACTTATATCACTGAAGCTCTTGATAAGGGATGCCCACATTACAGAACAAGTTGATAAGGGAACTTACGTTACAGAACCGCTTGATCATGGGGGTACAGGCCTTCATGAGGATGTGGTCCAGCTCGATATCCTTGTCCTCTTCCTCCATCAGTTCCCCGATCACCTGCTGGCAGTCGTCAGTCAGGTCGTCATAGTTGTTCTGCAGGCACTCCATCTCCTAAACAATCACAGGGTCAGACATCAGCATCACTGTTCAATCACAACCCTTATCCTTCTCTCATCTGAATACTTAGGAAAGCTTGTTTTAAAACTGAGTGAGTGAGCGAGTGAGCGTGCGAGTTTAGTTTTACGCCACACTAAGCAATATTCCAGCTATATGGCGACGATCTGTAAATAATCAAGTCTGGACCAGACAATCCAGTGATCAACAGCATCAATCTACACAACTGGGATACGATGACATGTGTGAACCAAGTCAGCAAGCCTGAGGGTGGCAATTTTGTACATACATACAAATAGAGAGAGAGATAGAGAGAGAGAGAGAGAGAGAGAGAGAGAGAGAGAGAGAGAGAGAGAGAGAGAGAGAGAGAGAGAGAGAGAGAGAGAGAGAGAGAGAGAGAGAGAGAGAGAGAGAGAGAGAGAGAGAGAAGACGGACATAATTGATTTTGAACATGAGATGTGGGTCACTTAGTTTGAACATAACTTTTTTTGGGGAGGGGGGGGGGGCATTCACATTGTACATGCTCCTCCATAAAAATCATCATCACTTCCCCTAGTCATAAATTACAGACTGATGTGGAGTGTCTAGTGACAATACCTACCGCGCCTACAGCGGTGTCCTCCTTGTTGCTGGAGCAGTGGCTGCCAAGGTCAGACAGGCACTTGGCCTGCACCTGTGGATTGAGCTCCACGCTGAGGGCATAGGACTTCATCACCCTCTTGATCTCCTGCTTACATGCCCGCGACACCTGCCACAGCCAACACACCATTACAACACTTGCCAGTCAATACAACCAAGTCATACAATCAGACCTTTCATCTTGACATCAACAACATTTGTCTCAACACCAGACTCCAATATCATGTCAAAATGTGAAGCCATTAAAGTTCTTACTTTTCTAGAACATTTCTGTATTCAAGGCAGGCAGGAACATGTTCAAGTTATTACAAGACAATTCTTTGTTTGCTCAGCTAAGATAATAATGAATTTACACAGTAAGACTCTAGTAAGTCCCAAATGTTATATGATTTTCAGGTGAAAGGTCCGATATTAACAGGTTAACAATGATGACGGTTAATATCAACTATCAACTTAGATATGATTTTCATTCATGAACTATAAGAAATATGCATCTACAAATCTCAGACACTTTCCAAATATATATTCAAACTCTACACAAAAGCACAAAACAGTTATATTACGAATATATGACACCAATATTCACAATCAATTAACTACGCTGACAACTACAAACAATACAGACACGACTAAGACCACTACAACAAAGGGTCTAATCTATAGACCACTACAACAAAGGGTCTAATCTATATGCTACAAATGAAGATCTCAGAAACAATCCAGTGTGAATCTCATCTGTTGGTTCCCGAGATTCAGGTCCACATCGGATAAACTCTGAAGAAAAACAAACTTCTAATCAAACTACACTATTAACATGAGGTGTCAAATTTTACCAAATACATGTACATGTTTCGGACTTCATACTTACACCATAACAGATCAAAAAGTGTACACTTTCTGTAAATCCAAATAAAACGGTATAAGAAAAGAGCAACATATGATATTTTGACTTTTTGAAGGACTGACTGAGTTTGGTTTTACGCCGCTTTTAGCAATATTCCAGCAATATCACGCCGGGGGACACCAGAAATGGGCTTCGCACATTGTGCCCATGTGGGGATTCGAACCCGGGTCTTCGGCGTGATGAGCCAACGCTTTAACCATTAGGCTACCCCACCGCCCCACTTTTTGAAGGAGGATTTCAACACTTGGTAGAAAACTTGATGTTGGAAATTTCATAAACAGTTCCAGGAGAACTACTTTTGCAATCAATAACAAACTTTATCCAAGTTTTGTTTTTCTGACATCATAAGGACCTGCCATTCAGTATTCAGTATGAATGAGGCCTGTGATTGCATAAAGAATATTTTGTCAAAGAAACGCCAAGAAAAAAAATCCTATTAACGGTTTTACAAAGAAAAGCATTAGCAGCTGTCTTGTAAAAACAGTATAGAAAATAACTGTAAAACTCTTCTAAAATGAAAAACCCAAAATACATTTTGTCCTAACATATCAAAGGACCCTCCACAATAAAATATAATGGCAGGTCTCTTATACACAAAATATATTTTCAAATCAAAAGCAAGACTCACTAAGAACATTGATGAACTTTAAAATATGGATCCATTTCCGTGCACATAACTCTAGGTCAATATCGAGTGTTTTCACAAAACTGAACATTGTTAATCCAGACTGAATATAAAAATATAAAATTTGACACCTCTTGAACTAGAAAACAATGAATGTGACAGTGTGAGGAGTAATCATAAACTCCTTCTACCAGAGAAGCAAACCACAGTTTGATGTAGGGTCAGAAACTGACAGTTCCCACACCATATAACCCTTTGTAAAGTGATGGTCAGGCACAAAAGCCACACAGAATATACTTAAGTCGAGATAAACAAGTCCAGCTCAAATTTCAAGCAAATTGTTCTTATATACAGGGGTGGAAATAAGTTTAAAATTGCTAGTGTACTCCGGTACAGTGGCACATGTAAAGTCACTTGCCCTGATTATTTTCCCACTATACCAACCGTTTTCTTGCTGATTTTTTAAATAAACAACATAATAAACATTGGAAAGTCAACTGGACACCGGTACAGTATGATATAAAAATTTGCTTGCCCGACAGAAAAAAAACACTGGACTCGGACGTCGGGCAATGGGTTATTTCCACCCCTGATATATATGAATCATATTGATTTAAGATTTGTTTCAGTGATCAAAACGATAAACTTTTTTTCATCAAATCAGAAGTTTTACAGAAAAATATCTCCACAATATGGCAAAATATGAAATGAGATATATAAACCTGGGAAAAGCCGAGCGTCATGGATCCATTGATTTCATGATTGTCTTTGTGCCACATGAAAAGATCTACAAAACCACTGATCTCTTTTTATTAAATGTCTACATCACCAAAAACGCTGTACAAAACCACTTTGTTTCCCAAGATGGTCACAAACAATGAATCATATTATATATGCTGCAAAAAAGCAGACAGTATTTTAATGTTGTTGGTTACCTATGGTACACTACTACCAGTTAAACACATTTTTGGTTTTCAGAATGAGTCCTGGCATGTCACTTCAGACACAAAAATAAATATGTTTTATCTGAAAGTTAACACAGGATAGAACCCTAACATCTGCCTGATTTATGTAATGTTTTCCCAGGTGTATATGGCTTTTTGTGTTTCTGAATCAAAGAGCAAATTCCATATGAAATCTCTCCAACTTAAGTATGGTCTGTGCAACAGAATAGGCTCATGAGGGTTCCAAACCTTCTTCTCATCCTGTTTAGGTTTCCGGAAGTGTTGATACAGACAGGCAAGAACTTTACCAGCCTCCTCGGGTGATTGTTCATGCCAGTTACCAGTCGTTTTACAGAGATCCTTTGCGAACTGACGGCATCTCCTGAACATCTGATTATCAAGTCTAGCGGGACACAAATGGAAAAGGGGAAAGATATATAGGGTAACGAAGCAAGGTGATGGAGCTACAGAGTCTGGGCTGTGATATCATGTTCTAGTGATATCATGTTCAAATGATATCGAGTTCTGGTGATATCATGGTCTAGTGATATCATGTTCAAATGATATCGAGTTCTAGTGATATCATGGTCTAGCGATATCAAGTTCTAGTCATTGCTAGTTCTATCACCTGACAACTTGGCATCCTTGCACTTGATGACAAGCAAGCTGGTTACGCTGCATCTACTGGGAACTTCGATCCTGCTTTGGGTTACGTCTGGCATCTGACATCCTCGATAATCTCCAGTTACGTTACGATAACTCTCTATTATATACCCTGGATGCCTCTATGGCTCAGCCCGATTTTATTACCTCCCTTGGCTGGCTTTTTATTCAATCAGGATTCTACGCTGGGAAGTTGAGCGTACCAATCACAACTCACTTTCGCTTCTTTTATCTAACCAATTAAACTTGACAACATAATTGTTGAAGAGGTACTCTGAAAGAGGTTGAAAGAGTTCTTGCACATATTTTTAAGGTTTCAGATCCGTCAATTTGTCCGTAATATTTCCCCCAAAATCTGAGTCGCACTACGAACAAACCTTCGCAGATGCGACAGCTATCTTTGTTGACACTGGCAAGCTCGGTTGTAACGGCGGTTTAGCTGATTGGCTACTGTGAGAATGTGGACGCAGCAAAGGAAGGTAATAAAATTATCAAGGCCGAGCCATAGATGCATCCAGGGTACTAGTGGAGATTTATCGTAACATATACCCTGGAGATTATCAAGGATGGGCATCGAGATGGATTGGACTTTCTGGGATTAGGTTAACTGGCTAAATATAGCTGGTTATATATTATCACACTGCTGCAAGCTGCCTCGCCAAGTCGCATCAGCCCTTGACCAAACTGACAGCAGAGCAATGATATGTAATGATATGTTCAAGGACACTTTATCCTCCTCCTCTTCATCATCTTTAACAAGGCAATTGATAACCTTGAGTGGCCAGTTTCACATATAATATTTTCCCTACAACATTTGGAACTCCCAAAGAGCTTCTTGACTAAAAGACAATTTTTGTACATCAGAAATAAAACTGCATAGTAAACAATGTCATAGTTCTTGAGCATTTTGAGGAAAATATATTGAAATGCTAATTTTGTTTTATCAACTTCTGTTTCTTATTACCACCCACATACTGATGTCGCGGGGTTATAATATGGCCACTGGTTTTCAAAATTTTAATTTGCCATTTGGGGTAATATATATTATCAATTAGAAATCATATATTGCCCTGCTGTCAGAAAGGCAAAGAAAAGCGTCTTGCTTCTATACTGTCTTGGAGATATAATGTTTCGGATTTCACTATCGTCCACAGTGATTGTGGAATTAGAGCGGCGATGCTAACGAGAATGTCACCAAGCCTGCTGCGGGTCGCTCCCTCTGGAAGTGTGCTGTGCTTAAAAGGGTGTCAAGAACAGAAATCACAAATAATGAAATGACTTCTCCGTCATCACACTTTGGTTCCTACTCGTGCATAGTACTTAATGCTCAAACTGTCTCAGAAAACATGCCTCAGAAAAAATACTGCTGACTCAGGACAAAAACGGCTGTTTAGTGTCTTACATCCATGCCTTTACACTCTAGGGAAGGTTTAGTATTGTTGTGTGTTTGTTGTGTGACACTCTCAGAGATATTCCAGCTGTATGATGCCAGTACTTAAATAATCCAATTTTGGACAGACACATCTGTCACTTACATAAAGTGATTATGCCACTCTTGGCAATATTTCAGCGATATCACGAGAAATGGGATTCAGACATTGAGTGAGTGAGTGAGTATGGTTTTATGCCGCTTTTACTTTTAGCAATAGTCCAGCAATATCATGACGAGGAACACAAGAAATGGGTTTCACGCATTGTACCCATGTGGAGAATCGAAACCGGATCTTCAGCGTGACCAGCGGACCCTTTACCCGTTAGGCTTCCTGCCCCTAAACTAGGTCTTCGGCCTGGCAAGGGAACATTTTAACCAATAGGCCATCCAACCACCCGACATTTACAGTAATGTCATTGTGGTAGGAATGCAAGCAAGTCTCCGAGGTAGCCCCAAAATGATTAATTAGTAGCTCAGCATCCAACGCTTGTTGGAGGATGCGACTAACAGCATCGGGTGGCGAGACTCACTGTCTTCATGGATTGATGCATCCCTATTCTGCAGATCAATAACATCAGTGAACTATCTGGAACTTGATTATTGATTATTGATCATTTACAGCCTACCATCCTACAGCTGGATTATTTCTGACTCTGACTGACTGACTGAGTTTGGTTTTACAGCAATATTCAAACATCACGCTAAAATGGTTGGTGAGAAACAAACACCTAAGGTTGGTGAGAACCAGTTGCAATCCCTGAATCCTTGGTACCGAGTCGAAAACTGTATGAACGATGCATTTGTCAGTCCTAGCAAAGACTACCAGGCACATGTTCACTGATAAACAAATGACGAGTGACAAGTGTACCTAGCGTTTACAAACATGCTCAAATACATAATTATAAGTTTAGCAAATACACAAGTATTACACTAACACTAGATTACCAAAGTACTGAACTGGTTTTAATTTAAAAAGTCTGGCGGTTCTTTAATACACTTTGGCTACATCAGAGAACTAAGATGACAGGCTGTGATAACATTTTCTTCTGTTTATGATAACACCATGACCATGACCTCTTGATAACAATATAATCTCATGACACCATGATTACATCACAGCACCATCCAAGATCGCAGTCTAAATAACATGACTGTATCATAATACTAATTATCTGCCCACTTTGAAGATAGTTTTGTCCTGCTTTTAGTGACATATCAGCAACATCATGATTGGAAGACACAAGATATTCACTTCACACATTGTACCCATAAAACAATGATCTCATTATAACACACACATGATATCATTGTAACATTAATCACATCATAACACTTTAATCTTGTTACAACACTATGACCTTATCTTGATTGTATAACATCATAATCTTCTAATAACAATAGAACCTCATTATAACACTATAAACCACAATAAAGAAAGACCTTGTAAAACCATGACTTCATTATAACATTATGACTTCACCATAACACTGTTTTCATCATAACACGACTTCATCATAAAACTGTTTTCATCATAACACTATGACCTCTTAACACTATGCCTTCATCATAACACTATGCCTTCATCATAACACTATGACTTCTTCATAACACTGTTTTCATCATAACACTGTTTTCATCATAACACTATGACCTCTTAACACTATGCCTTCATCATAACACTAAGCCTTCATCATAACACTGACCTCATCATAACACATGACTTCTTCATAACACTGTTTTCATCATAACACAACTTCATCATAAACTGTTTTCATCATAACACTATGACCTCTTAACACTAAGCCTTCATCCTAACACTAAGCCTTCATCATAACACTGACCTCATCATAACACTATGACTTCTTCATAACACTGTTTTCATCATAACACTGTTTTCATCATAACACGACTTTATAATAAAACTGTTTTCATCATAACACTATGACCTCTTAACACTATGACTTCTTCATAACACTATGACCTCATCCATATTGTTACCATACCTTCATCCATACCTTACAAATTTCACACTAAAATCTAATGACAACAAATTTCCAATCTATACGTACAGTTTGTACATGTATACCTCACTGAATAATCAAGGTCTACATACGGTGCTTGTAATAATTAGTAACTGAGTCAGCAGTAAATGTTTCCAATCCATGCACGGACCGTGTTAGACAGTTAGACAGCCACATGCCATGCAATACTTTCCAAAATGGGTCTGGCAAGACAGTCATGTTGCATGCTACAAGTCTAGTAATGCACTACGAAGATGAAGAGGATTCCCTGAGGAGGCACATCTACAGAACACTGTGCACATAAAATAAATACTTCAAACTGCACATTCGACGAAACCAAAGTATCATGAGGACAAGAATAACCATGCTAGTTGCCAAAACAGGAGAAGGGGCTTCTAGAGAACACTCAGCCTTGACAACACCTACAGATTGGAATCAGAATTTGGTTCTGATGGCTGCAAAAGATGAACAAGTTTTGGGCATATTTACCCCGACAGGAATAGGAAAGGTAGAGTGTTCTACAGAAACAGTGAGCAACACTTTTGAAACTAGACAAAAACTGCTTTCCATTTTAGTCCACTGTTATCTATACTACTAAACAGTGTTCGAAACTAAGCCTGAAAGTTAAAGGGTCCTTGTAAACATTGTTACAAATGAAGTCCCTATATTCAAATACCAGGACCCCTGAACCCCCTTCAATTTCGAACACTGCTGAAGCGTAAAAAAGGTTTCAGTCATGACAGCAGATCACATTACTTGGCTTGGAAAACGCTATTTCATATGTGTAACTTGGTTAAAGAGCAGTTTGCATCTAGTGACGGATGTGCGAGCCCCTTGTCCCCTCTCTGTCTTGACGGAGATCTGAGCAAGCGCCTCACCTGCGATTGATGGAGGCATGGCAGAATAAAAGGGTCTTTAGCTGGTAGCTTGGAATGAGGGTCGAACCAGTCATCCCCAGCTTTACATATTGTCTTTGCATCTGTCCTACACGATTTGTACAAATGGGTATCTAGTCTGCAAGTCAACAGAATATACCATTGTTAAAAACCCATCACACAAAACACTCATTTTCAACATCCATGTTTATGCCCCTTTAGATGCAAACTTACATTGAAATTAATCTTTAGAATGACTCTTTTTCCTCAGCCACAGGTTAGAAAAAACCCGAAATTGTTAAGGCATGTTAACATGGTTGATAAGCCTCAGCAAAAACTCCACTGAAAATGACGCTAAATGCTAGTTGGGAGAAGTTTGAAGAGCTTTTAGCACAGAGAGAGGGTCTGCAAACTGTGGTGTTAGTATAAACAGCAATCTCATTAAAATCTGATCTGTCACCCTGCATGATACATCAGAGAATACACCTCAACAGATGTCACCCTGCATGATACATCAGAGAATACACCTCAACAGAAGACTGCATCAGATGGCTTCCAACTCAGCCGATCAGCAGACAAAGTTTCTAAATTCTCATCTGAACCAGCAAAACATTGAGAACAATGCATCTGAGTTCTGGTTCTCGAAAGTGAATGGATTTTTGGGTTGGTTGGGTCGCTGTTTAATATCGCACTCAGCAATATTCCAGCTACATGGCAACAGTCTGTAAATAATCAAGTCTGGACCAGACAATCCAGTGATCAACAGCATGAGCATCGATCTACGCAATTGGACCACATGTTTTCTTTGAATTTTCTTTCATTAAAATAAGAATTTGCAGTGAAGAAATGAGGCAAAAGAATTTCAGAAGGTGATATCTTATTGCATCCTTCACATTGGTTGAGCGATCATATTTCTCTCAGGTTTCATCCGACGCAACTTTTCACGGAGGTGACCTGAAATTGCTGCACTCCGAAGGATCCCTTGGGGGACAAGATCTGATTCTAATGAGATTGGTAAGGAGAGCTGAGCGGCAGAGACCCAGTACATCTGAATAGATCCCTAGGCTAAAATACAAAGTCGCCCTGAGCTGGCAGGTTCAGATCTCCCAGATGTTTGACATCAAAGATAAAATCAGCAAAGCAAATGCGGTCTACAGAAGCAATGTCAAACAGCATTCTTTTGGAGCATGTGGAGACACCCAGGAAAGGAACTAGTAGTTAACAATTAAGTTGTGTTTTAGACAGAAACCTGATTGGTGCCAATTTAAGTGCAAGGATTACAGCCCCAAAGTATTAATTTTACCCACACAACTGCAAGACCCGTGTTGCCAAATTCCAAAACCAGTAAATGAAGACAAATGTTTACCAGACACCAGTGAGTGAAAGACCTGTGGTTAGGCCAGCGTCATTCCCATCTATAAAGCTCCATCACATCATTATATTACAGTGAAATTTAATTAAATAAATATTTAAAATAGTTCTTCAAAGCAGGAAGATATCAGTTATAACAAGTTTAGTTTCATATTAATTTCAGTTTCATGTTATTTTCACTTTCATGAGTCACTATCCCATCACAAAAGAAAAAAGATCAAAATAAAAGCAACGACATACAATCTGAAAATCATAAAATTCTACCATGTGTCTATGAAAGAAGCATTCTATAGATCTAGGATTCCATGCTTTGGATATAAGTGCCAGAAAAGGTAAGAGCAATTTGTGCCATGAGCAGAGAGCCCTCATATTCTTAGGATCGTAATTATTACTCTTGGTAGGCTTGCAAATAGTAGTAGCTCTAATAGGGCTCTGTTGCTCACCTTTCTTGATGGAGAAGCTTTCCGAGTGAGTGAGTTGGGTTTTACGCTGCTTTTAGCAATATTCCAGCAATATCACGGCAGGGGACACCAGAAATGGGCTTCATTCACTGTACCCATGTGGGGAATCAAACCCTGGTACCTCGGCGAGGATATATACTTGGTATCTCGGTAAGTACTAAGTGTGAGTGAGTGAGTAAGTTTAGTTTCAACAACACTCTAGTTTGTTTGTTAACGCTGCACTCAGCAATATTCCAGCTATATGGCAGCTGTCTGTAAATAATCAGGTCTGGATCAGAAAATCCAGTGATCAACATCATGAGCATCGATCTACACAGTTGGGGTAAGATGACATATGTCAAGGTAGTCAATTCTAACGCGGATATTCACATGTTCTTGTGAAAAGAAGTTCTAATATGATGACGGTAATGGCTACTCACTACCAAACCAAGAATGGATTTCACAAAATATTTACGTAAGCCGATGGTGTCACAAGCTACACTTCAACCCCTTGATTCTCTCACTACTCTTGCATGTCCTAAAAGACCAGCCTCAGTGGAAGCAATGGACAGATCAATTGCATCCACTTCTCTGGTGCATCATTTTGGGAAAGGAAATGTGTCCTCCAAACAGACAAACATGCCATAGCAAATGTTCACTTGGGCCTATGGTCCATGTGTTAAGTTCATATAAATATGAGTTTTGAGTCATAAGAACATTTATGCATATCATGAAAAGAATACCTACAGCCATATAGTGAGTGAGTGAGTGAGTGAGTGAGAGGTTGAGTTGGGTTTTTACTTAACGCTTTAAGCCATATTTCAGCAATTGAACCCATATCTTTTGCATGATGGGAATGACACCCCAGAAATAGGGCATTCACACGTCATTGTGCCCATGTGGGGAAATTGAACCCATATCTTTTGCATGATGCAGAAATGCTATTACTACTAAGCTATCCCAGTGCCCCTTGCCATATGACTGAAACAGTACTGGTGCAATGGGAACACTAAGATACTGCAACTTTCATATATCTGTGACAATGACCTGCAACAGTGGTTATCGATAGATCAGACCAAGAATACATTTCAGGACCTCGTCTCAGACAGCAATCTTAGCACTGAGATGCTCCTAAGTCCTGAACTTCAACACAGACTAAGGACAGTCATAGAGCTACAATTGCTTTCTGGAATGAGGGCCCAGTTTTTATGGTTCTGTAAAGGCCAAACAGGTTTATCTGTAGTAAAAAGAAACATTATTGACCCATTTGTTCATTCAGTGACTATATAATCTGTTCAATTTCACTGGGAATGGGTTTGTTAAAATAAGGATGTTCACTCCACAAGGAAGAATGTGGATGGTTGTTAAGGCAATGGAATGCAATATTCCAGCAATATTCCAGCTATGTAATGGCAACAAATATGCTACCCCAATGATGGCAGGCTGGCACACCTTGGGCCTAGTTATAGGTACAGTTCGTGTTTCCTAGAAGTCTTGGAGTCAAGTTCTGCCCTACACAACAGTAACTGTGGCCATGTAATCTCTATTTAATTTGTTTCTCATGAATGAACCATGTTTCAGGTCCATCATTGATGTGTGAGTGAGTGAGTGATTAAAGCTTTACACAGCTTCTAGCAATATTCCAGCAATATCGCGGCATCGGACACCAGAAATAGGCTTCACATATTGTACCCATGTGGGGAATCAAACCCGGGTCTTCGGCATGACAAGTGAATGCTTTAACCACTGGGTTACCCCACTGCCCGACTGATGGGAGGAAAGCCAAGTGATGCAGATCTTAACCACTTCCATAATCAGGGGAATCTGAGATTCAAACCCATAATGAGGTGAGGTGAGGTGAAATTGGGTTTTACGTCGTGCTTGAGAATATTTTGCTCATATGACGACCTGAATGCGTGTGTATGTGTATGTGCGGCTGCTTGTACTAGCCCAGACTTAAGCTGGTTTTATAGTGCTAGCCCACTGAGATACCATGCCGCAGTGAAGCAGAAATACCCCACTCAGACACATTATACTGACTCTGAGCCGACCAGTCCTTGTTGTACCCCTTAATGCCGAGCGCCAGGCAGGGACCAACAAGTACCCTATTTTAAGTCTTTTGGTATGACGCGGCCGGGGATCGAACCCACGACCTTCCGCTCTCCGGGCGGACGCTCTAACCACTACACCACGGATTCGGTTAAACCCATAATGAGAGGATGTGGCCACATTAAAGGGAAACAACTCTCTCACTACCAATTTCCAGATCACAGGGTTCCAAATGGAGTTGACCGACTCACATACTGATTCACACCTATGAACAGAGGATTCTGCCACACTCAAGGGAAACAACTCTGTCCCTGTCTATTTCCTGATCACAGGGTTCTGGGTGGAACTGACTGACTCACAGAGTTAGGGAAGATGGAGAAGAGGAGCTTGTACATACCTGAAGTCTCTCACAATAAAGAACTGTATCTCCAGCAGCCTTTCTTCACAGACATCAGTCATATCGTCACTGTCAATATTCTCCATCAAACAGTTGATGACACTGACAAACACAGACATTGAATTATGATCAACAGCGTCAAAATATTATAATAATATTAATAATAAGTGCATTGGTTATGCCCTATTTTCAATCCATTGAGGTTGCACAAAGTGCTGCATAACAATCTCATTATTACCCCGGATAACCCAAGCTGCCTGTGAGGCGCTAGAAGGGTACTAGTCACATGACTTATCCCCCTGGGTACCCATTTTCTGCTGGGTGAAATGAGGCAATTTTGAACAAACTCACTTGCCTCAGGTGAAACCACATGCATCACATGTGCTTCATTGTCGGGTAGGACTGAAGTCCTAGAAACTCTCAGGAGTCAAGCTGCCAAATACAGTCACCCATCCAAGACCTCAGCACCCAACGTTATATCAAATGAATAATACTGATTGATGATGAGGCAGTAACATAGAATAATTAAGAAACAAATCATCCATACAGTCATGGACAGCCACGGTCTAAGACAAATAACAATCGAGATGGACTAGTTGTTATGTTCCCATAGTTACTCCCACTCACTAACACTGCAACAAATCTGAAATGAGCTGTGGACTGGTAAGATAAGGAAAACGGTGTCTACCCCCTCCAAATGTTCTTTTGACAAAAGATGTCCTCTATCTAATTTAGTGGTGTGTGTGGCTCAGAATATTATGGTATATGACAGTCAGAAAATGTGATCCAGTGATCAACAGCATGAGCATTGATCCACACAATTGGGATATGATGACATGTGTCAACCAAGTCAGCGAGCCCGACCACCTGATCATGTCAGTCGCCTCTTATGACAAGACCAACCTGGATCTTCACGGGTTCCTTACATTATGAAGAAACTCCAATTGCCTGAACTTTCCTTACCCCCCATCTCCTGGTTGGACATCATCGCAGAGTTTGTCAACCACTGACTGACAAGCTCGCTGTAGAGCACCATCTATCTTGATGTCAGAACCCACATCTGCCTCTCGCAGCAGGTCTTCAAGCTAAAAAACATACATCACAACAGATGCTTAAATGCTAACAACAGGATAGGCAACATGCTGAGGGGAATTATACATAATGAGTGAGTGAGTGAGTTTCGTTTTACGCTGCACTCAGCAATATTCCAGCTATATGGCGGCAGTCAGCAAATAATTGAGTCTGGACCAGACAATCCAGCGCAGGGATTTACCTTGAGTCCTGTATTTCAGGGTCCCTGGGACTCATACTCTTAATTTTCAGGGGTCCTGGGTGCCGGTGTACAAAGCGCTCTTAGCGCTGAGGTGACCGTAATTCCCATACCTTAACAGACTTACGACTGTCGTAGCACTAATGTTGCTTAGTATAGCGGCGCCCTGGACAACAAAATGGGAGTACTAGACACTAAAATATTATTATTAATAGTGTTATTGTATTGTGTATCATGATCATCATTGTTACAATAATTGAATTGCAAATAATACCATAACCCAGCTAGTAGCAAACTCAGTAGTAACTTATTGTCACTTGATTGGAATTTTTACAAAAAGTATTTGGACCTTTTCTGCGTGGACACTGCCAGTGACCAACAGCAATTGGGAACCGATGACTTGTATCAACCAAAGCAGGTCTGACCATCTGATCCTGTCAGTTGCCTCTTACAACAAGCTTCGGTTACTGAAGACCAATTCTAACCCCGATCTTCACAGGTCGAATTATACATAAGGTCCTGACTGAAAGGAAGTCTGGAGTCTTGTTTAATTTTGTGAATTAAATAATTCAACCAACACTGTCACTTGAATAAAATGTGCTTCACTAATGCATGCTAATAATTAACATGAATATTTGAATATGATGAAAGTTATAAAGGATTTGAAGCAATTACAATCCGAATACAAAATCAAAGTGATAACTTTGAAATGTACTTTAAATATATCAAAAGAGCAATAATTGTGTAAAATATCAAGAAAGATATTCCTGCATTGCTGCTGTAACATATGTAGCTATCTGCTTCCTAGCTTGCATGAAGGAGAAAGGATATACTCTGAAACGTCATGTTCTTCATTACAGAAGTTGAAATTCAAATCCCCCTTCCCCCTTTTTAATACTTCTGTAGTTTGACCAAATCCACACAAAAATACACTTGTAATCATATAAAAAAAAGTATGACCACTAAACTGGGTCTTGGAATAAAGTAAATAATGAGATAAATAATATGTGGTCCAAATCTACATAAATCTAATTGCATTGGGTGAGTGAGTGAGTTTAGTTTTATGCTGCTTTTAGCAATATTTCAGCAATATCTTGGCAGGGGACACCAGAAATGGGCTTCACACATTGTAAATGTGTGGAATCAAACCTGGGTCTTTGGTGTGACGAGCGAACGCTTTAACCACGAGGTTACCCCATCCCATTGCATAGCCTATATGGTTAAAGCATCTGCTCGTCGTGCTGAAAACCCACTTTAGAATCTCCACATGGGTACAATGTTATGAAGCCCATTACTGGATATTGCTGAAATATTGTGAAAAACCACGTTAACCCATACTCACTCACACTAATGGATATCATGCATTGCTGCACAAATCTTCCTCATACAATTTACAAAAGAAAATATCAGCAGTAATGGACAATACCTCTCTTGTGCAAGCTGGTGTGATCTTGGGCTTATCTGTGACTTCTTTAGCCAAAGCCATAAGACAGTGGAGAGTTTCTCCTCCGATGTCCTTGTCATTGCAGTAGGCCTTGATCTCATCGCCACACCTGGCAACAAGGACGGGGGACAGCCTGTAGTCCTCCATCAGCATCTTCCGCACATCCTCCATCTGGGCCACACACTTGCCCTTCAGCTTTTTACCTGGAGCAGACGGTCAAGGGTAACATGGATAGAGGTTCATTGTGTTTGTGTGTAAGCATGATTTAACAATGCTTTGAGCAGCATAACAAGTTAGTGTGGGAAGAAAGTCTGAACTGAATATTTACTAAGGCTGTAACAATTCACTTGCATATTCGAACCGTATGAATCGAACCGTAGCCCTTCATGAATTCAATTCGTTATTCGTGGTCACCAGAACCGAATATTAATGAATATTTACGATTTTTGTAAGGGAGCATGTTTTACGTGAACCCTTGCGTACTTTTGGAAAGTGAGATATGCATGGATTGAATATGTACTAGCAATGCAGTAGCGCAAGTCACGTTAGTTTGCCAAGGCCGCACATAGTACTGTCGACTATAACTATTACATACCAAATTTGAGTGTCATGAGATCACTGGTTATTGCTGTGACAAATCAAAACTGTCAACATGGGCGTTCCATATTGTAAATAAATCACTTAACTACTATATTGTATTCGTGAATAATTATTCGTATTCGTTACCCAAGATTCATGATACATATCATATTCACCACATAGTGTATTCGTTGCAGCCCTAATATTTACCAATTTGATGAAACTTAAACAACAAGGACAGATATGGTGCTTAGAAACACTAGCAGTACTGTATATGGAGAAAGAAAAGCTACATACCTGTTTTGGCTGCATTTTCTAGACAAAGCAGCACCGAAGCACGTTTGGTGTCCCCATGTGTACTCGATCCAGCCAAGCAGTCATTCTTTTCAATGTCATTCTTGCATGCCTTGTAAAAGCTCTTGTCCATTTTCACATCCTGGGAAATCAGTTTCTGCCTAAGCTCGATCTTCTCACGACACTGAAACAAATCTGCTAATTAGTTCCTGGTCCATGTCAACTGTAGCGTAGAACTCCCCTCAACGAGGATCAAATTAAAATAACAAAAAACATGCAGAACAAGGTCCCAGTTGTGCAACCACAAAGATTTCGGTGCATTTTCAATCTCAGGACAATGACATCTGACCATTTTTTAATATCTGCTGAAGGAATCTGCCAAGGCGAATTATAAGATTTATGAATATCCTTCAATATAATGACGCTATAGTATCACTTACAGTGGCCACTAAATGCAGTTTCTTTGGGCTGCAAATATAGGTAATGCCAACATTGGAATTTTTAATCAAGCTTGTGCATATTTACTCTTTCTATCAATGTAGACCAAGGCCACATACTAGTGTTCGGAATTGGTTAAAATCTCATAATTGATGATTGGTTCATTACAACCGATCAATCATCGAAGATAATTGGTTAGTGTCATTTATCAAATATTCCTGGTTGTTTCTTAATGCACAAAAAAAAAGAAAGAAAGAAAAAAACATGTAGTTCTTTCATGTGTTATTTGCAAATTTCACATCTTTAAAGGGTGACTAGTATGTTTGGAACATACATTTCCTGAAGTCTTTAAGATAACTTCAATCATGACTTAGAACGAGCTTGTAGTGCTTATGAAATGTAACAGACAAAACCAACCTTGTGAAAAATATAAGTGTTCCAAAATTGTTTGAGTTTGATTATGAGAAAACATGAGCGATTGCTTGGTCGTTTAGTCATTTTGACCAATCTTCGATTATTTCAATTAATCAGACAACCACTAGCACATATAAGCTTAAATAATGGAATACCATGTAATACTTAGAAATAAGTAGTTCCTGCAGTTTCAGAAATGGTACAGATTTGTCCTCAACAAATTCAAGGTCTGACTATCTAAAAGCCTACCTCATGGCTCATGGATTTATCGGCAACATGCTTGTACAGACAGTTGAACACTTTGCCCCCTCCAGCAGTTACAGTAGGACACAGATGCTCCCTGTCTTCTCTACAGGCATAGTAGAGAGGTCGGTCGAGGTGGTAGTCGTCTGACTGAAGTTCATATGTTCTCAATACCTGGACCTTACACTTGCCAGACAGGTTGGTCATCTTCTCAGCCAGACAGGACAATGTACGTCCCTGAGTGTGAAGCTGACAGGAAATAAAAAGACAAACATCAATGGCGTGACAATTGCACCGTAGTGGCAGAAGGCCTGTTTCTGATATAAGCATCTTATGTTTGTTTAGTTAAGATTCTGCGTCAATACTTTTTGCTTTTGTTAAAGGATAAATATTAAACTGTGTGCATACTCTGTAGAACTGTGTCCCTTATGAGATCAAGAAAGTAAAAACCTGAAAGCAACCAGTCAAATTTTAACATAATGCATTTTGAAAGGCAGGATGTACAACTGTAAACTATCGTCATATCTCTCACTTCAGTGTAACATGTTACATTTGGGATTACATTTTCTCAGTAAAGTACACATTCTTGTACTCCTGTTGGACTGAATGGGTTAGACAGTGGACTATGTGCACTGGCAATTAGGGTCATGAGCATCGATCTACGCAATCGGGATACGATGACGTGTCAACCAAGTCAGTGAGCCTGATTACCTGACCTGAGTGCCGTTGTACAATACAACCTTAGCGCTAAGGCTACCTTAATTCTATGTTAAAGTATGGGATTTACAATCACCTTAGCGCTAAGATTGCTTTGTACAACGGCACCCTGATCCTGTTAGTCGCCTCTTACGAAAACAATTCTAACCCGGATGTTCACGGTGTGCCCTAGCTGGTAGTAGTTCCTCTATGTATATGTGTAATCGTTAGACAAGCCAGTTCAATATTACAGATTTCCTGAAGCCCAAAGTTTCGCTGTCATATTTTCTGTATTGCATTTGTATCAATGCTTCTGTTTTAATATTTGCACTTCATGAAAATAATTAATCTACATGAAGTAACAAAACCATCAGCATTTCTTGCCAGTGTGGTAACACTTTACTTTCTGATTATATAACACTGACCTGACACCAATCATGAATTAAGTGTTACTTGTCCAGCAGTGAGAAATCTGTGTTGATGTCACTGGGAGACATCCTACTTTTTCGATCTCGAACACAACTGCATGCTTTGTCAGAGTTACGATAGGTATGGTAGCTTTCTAGTTTCTGCGACAATTTTACAACAGTTTTGTAAATAATTTTTTGGAAATTTTAATTTTAACCTTTGAACACAATTTCTTCAGAAAATGTAGGCCCTGTAGAGTAAAACTCAAGAAATCTGCTGTGACTGGCTTATATCAACTTCCTGTTAGTCAATTAATTCGTTAAAGGTCATGAAACATGTGTAAGGTTGTTCTGAAAGGAAGTAATGACATGTCCTCAGATCTTTGAATGGGAGAAATGAGCACAGGTTGAATTTTAACTTAATTTAATTTTTAATTTTTAACAACAAAAAACACCAAACTTGGTGAAAGGCTCAAACTCACAGCTTCATCTTCATCACCTTCACTTCGGCCACATCGAGTCTTGCTGATATCATCATAACAATCCTCGGCAAAGTGGTAGATGAGCCTATAGTCGCTGAACACAATGGTAGCCATTTTGTTCAGGAACTGGCGACAAGATGATGAGGTTACGTTATCAAAGTTTTCAATCAGACAGGAGATAATGGTTCCCTTGCCTCTCTGTAAGCCGCTACACTCCTTGATCTGGAACACAACAGAAAGGATTTACCATGGTAACATGGTTAGTAAGCCATTTATTCCAATATTACCATTCCAAGGTCTTTCAAAGATCACTTACCTCAAAATTTAGAAGCTGGTATGACCAAGACAAACAATTTCTATGGACTGACAACTGCTTTATTGTAATAGACACTACATTTCGTTATTCACTTGCTTGATAACAGTCTTGGAATCTTATTTCGCATCTATGGTAATACAAAAAGTGCCTAGAGATAAATGGGACGGTGGTTAAAACGATCGCTCGTCAAGCCAAGATCTGTGTTTGACTCCCCACATAGGTACACTGTCACCAGGGTACAATAGGCCCATTTCTGATGTTCCTCACCATGATATTGCTGGGATATTGCTAAAAGTGGCATAAAACTAAACTCACTCTATTCAGAAAATGTGTTTCGCCACCTCAAAATACAACCAGTACTGAGAAGTTTTTGTATTGTCACAGCAAAAATTGTTTGAAAATATAAATAATCCAGAAATGTTTCACACTGTCTTTAATAAAAACCAGAAACACTATCACAAGCTTGTTGAGTGCATTTTAATATACTACCCATCAAAGGTTTAGACTCACTAGTGTAAATGTAGCCACTTACTTCAGGCAACTGTTCTAAACTTGACTTTGCAAAATATTCCATTCAGTTGAAAGGTACTGTTCACACATGAACTAATGTATTGTAAAACAAATTTGTAACGTTGAAAAGATTATTGCCTTGAGTTCAGTAAATGATGAAAATCAGTGAAAATTGGCGAATTCTTAACAAAACTTTACATCAAAACGCCACTGTTCACATGATCGATATTTGCACATGCCTTTTAGCAATTTGATGCATGATCCTCATACATTTCATCTGCATAAAGTTTGCAGTTAGTTCCCCCAAGTTAGTGGAGAAATTCATCTTCTATGTAACCATATATTATACATAACATATAGTGAGTGCTTTAGGCAAGTCTAAACTTTTGATGGGCAGTATACTTAAAGCAATGCAACAAGATAGAATATATATTACCTGATAAAACCTGGGTCAAATTCAAGTTACTTTTCAAAATGAGTCAAAGACTCAAACCATTCAGATATTTTCCTCTGAAAATTGACATAACTAGGTCCCATATGTAATCACAGAGTGAGTGAGTGAGTTTAGTTTTATGCCGCACTCAGCAATATTCCAGCTATATGGCGGCGGTCTGTAAATAATGGAGCCTGGACCAGACAATCCAGTGATCAACAGCATGAGCATCGATCTGCGCAATTGGGAACCGATGACATGTGTCAACCAAATCAGCGAGCCTGACCACCCGATCCCGTTAGTTGCCTTTTACGACAAGCATAGTCGCCTTTTATGACAAGAATGGGTTGCTGAAGACCTATTCTACCCCGGATCTTCACGGGTCTGTAACACAGAGTCCAAACAGAATGCAATGTGACTCATATAAACAAATTAAGCAGATAGATATGAAATAAATGATGACAAGAACTCACAGTCTGCAGTTCCGACTTGCAAACATCTTGTGAAGCATGCTCAAACCGTTCATCCTTCGTCAAATTCCGCTTGTACATCCACAGGAACTGTCAAAAAGCAAGTAAAACAAAATGAAAATGCTGCCAATATGTGGTTAATTTATGGTGGAGACACAAAGGCATAGAATGATAGCCTGCCTTTGACCTGTTACCAGAAACTATGTACATGTACCAGAATACAAAAAAGCATTTTAAAAATCGCCTTCCTGAAAGGCTGTGCTGAATAATCCCTACTCAGCAATATTTCAGCCACATTATGGCTATTAGGGCTGCAACGATGCATCGAACTATCGATGGATGGATTGCAATCGTCGAGTTAATTAATCGATGGTAGAATGAAAAACTATCGATGCATTGATAGCATGTGTGACTATCGATAGTTTAGTAATTGACTTCCTTTGATAAATGTGCAGCGCAAAATACAGGAAGTACCAGATTCGTTCACTTTGATTTTGAGTTATCTACCCCTGTTATCTGTTAACTGTTTACTTGATCTGGGTTTTAAGTTTCTTGTCAGTTATTAAGAGAGACTGAAACTGCTTCAACATGTTTTTATTTTATATAAACTATACAGTCATTTGGGAAATGACTTCAAATGAGACACTTCAAGGAGAAAAAAAACATTGCAATAGTATTGTGTTTCCTCCAATAGTTGGTGCCCTTTTTCGCAATAGTATGTTGCAACAGACTATCGCTATCCCAATAGTAAACATTCAAAATGCTTTTCACCCCACAATAGTCTGGAGGAAACACTACCTATTGGCTATATTTCTGTAACAACAAATTTGACCTGACAAACTAGTGATTGATGTTGTGAGTACTGTTCCTTACACTCCAGGGCCCCATTCCTCAAAGCTATCGTAGCGCTACGACAGTTGTAAGTCTATGTTAAAGTAAGGGAGTTTACGATCATCTTAGCTCTACGATCGCTTTGAGGAACGAGGCCCAGGTACATCACACTATCAGGGCAAGTCACTGCTCCTGACCTGGGTCCCGATCCAAGCATTCATAACGTTACGACCTGTTTAAACTCAATAGTCTACCATAAGCTTATGAATGTTGTAGCGCTACAAACACTTTGTGCATCAGGACCGAGACCACCCAATTAGATTTTGTCACTTCGCACAAATAGCACAGGTTGGTGGAGACCTATTCTAACTTGTCTAACCTGCAATCCCCAACATGCTACAAAGAAAGACAAAATGAACAGTTAAAAGTCCTAAAGATTCAAGAACATTTAAAATCTATTGTCATGGTTACTTTTATCATTAAATATATGTAAAAAAGAAGAGAAATATCTTTCTCAGGTGACTATCTACTTCCTCTGTACTTACATGCTGGCATGGCTTGCTCAATTCTGTGTCCATCTGAAATTGATTATTACTCAAATGTATTTCCAAACACACATGGTAAACACGACAAGGTAAATAGAAACATCAGTTCTCTCAAAGTAACATGGGTTTCCATGGTTACGAGATCTGACATGAACAAAGAAATACATTCACACCTGAGGTCCTTCTCAGAGTGTTAACAGGTGTTAGCATGGGAAGATAATTACAAAAATCCAATATATTGCATTGTCAGCAACTTACATACATTTGACTTTGAGTACTATTTTCTCTCTACATGCTTAAATTAACTAACATTCTTACCTCAATGGCTATATATTTTTAACAGAATTCAAATAATTATTCAGTGTAGTGACACTACCAAACATATATTGTTGTCACCTTCAGCAGAATCTTTGGTCAAAGCTACATTTGCTATTCATGAAAATAAAAGTGTAAATTGATGTGTTGTCACCTTCAAACCTGTAAATGAGAATGAAAGCTGAACTAACCATTAAAACACATGGTCAACATTTGCAGAATAACAAATATATTAACTGCTTTTAGAAGCAAATACTTTGAAAAATCTCATCCTTTATATGTACTATATAGAAATTGAGTAAAATTCCTAACGTTCGACATAAATTTAAAAAATATTTTATTTGTTTAACACGATCAGCATTCAGTCTGTAACAAGTATGTTAACTATTCACCAGGATAATAAATAAACAGCAGATACAGTCACCTTTATGAAAGTGTGGCAAGGTTCTATTCAGAATCTACCTGGTGGGTTGATCATACCTGTGTAACTACGCCTACCCATGCTAACCCACCACCAAACCTAGCTGTTGCAAAGAGTAAATTGAAGTAAACATTTGTAACCACTAAATTAAAAACAGGGTGAACCTGGTAAGGGCAGTCAGCTGGCTTGATCATGTGTGTTCATACCTAATGTTGAACAGGTGAGTGAGTGAGTGAGTTTAGTTTTACGCTGCACTCAGCAATATTCCAGCTACATGCCAGCAGTCTGTAAATAATCGAATCTCGACCAGACAATCCAGTGATCAACAGCATGAGCATTAATCTATGCAGTAGGGATACGATGACAAACATATCCGCGAGTCTGACTATCTGATCTTGTCAGTCGCTTCTTACGACAAGCATGGTTGCTGAAGACCAACCTGGATCTTCACAGGTACCTTAGACTTAGAGTAAAATTATTGTTATTTTCACAATATCCATAATATAATCTATCTTTTGTTTGTTTGTTTGTTGTTTAACGCTGCACTCAGCAGTATTCCATCGATATGGCGTCGGTCTGTAAATAATCATGTCTGTACCAGACAATCAAGTGATCAACACAATCAGGATACGATGACATGCATCAACCAAGCCAGCGAGCCTGACCACCCAATCCCATTAGTTGCTGTTTACGACAAGCATGGGTTACTGAAGAAATATTTTAACCCGGATCATCATGGGTAACTCTCCTTGAGAAAGTCCTTAGAAGTTGATGATCTACTTCAAGCCAGCTGACAACCTCTGTGTTCTATAGGGTGTTGAAATATGACTGTCTACAAGGCTGGAATTGGAACTAGTAATCTCAGGGCAGAAAACATAGGTAAAACATGACACAACATACCTCATCACTTTCATCTGTTTTCTTAAATAAAACATTGAAATAAACCATCTGACCTTAGTAACATTCATCACATTCAACCACTTTACAGAAGTTTCAGAAGAATTGTTTTACTAGCCTTATCACCTATAATGGTTACCTTGCCTTGACTAATCTCCAGCCATGATCTACCTAGCCCTGACAAGTGCCCAGGCACCTACCATGTTTATCTATATGATCTAACATTAGGGCTGCAATGATTCACCCAGACCTTGATTCGATTTCCGATATTGGACCCTCGATTTGATTCTTCATACAACTTTTTCATTGCAAGGAAAAACATCAGATTTCATTTAACTCCCAAGGTCGGCTTTTTTAGCACGAAATCCATTGACAACTTGGTGATGTCTACTAACAGCAATTCTCATTGGATAATTTGACCGATGTCAACCAATCACGTTTCCCCTTACTTCAGCGCTTGAAACTGCTCAAGTTGGAGTCAAAATTATGTGTGGAAGTAATTTAAATAAGTATTCAAATATCGAATCGAAATAGTGATAATGGTTATCAAAAATCAAAACTAAGGTGTCAGATTCGATTTTCTATGAACAGAGCCGAATCGTTGCAGCCCTACTGAACAGTGACTACTCTTGTCGTCAATGTTGCTACAGGTCTTACAAATCTCCTGCCATCTATCAAGCCCTAACTTCCTGATAGTTTCTTACTTATCATTTCTATCTTGAGCAGGCTACATTCCTATTGTCTAGTCTCCTGCCACCTGCCATGTCTGTTTCGAGCAAGCTCGTTTCCTATCATATACTCTTAAAAAAAAGTAGGGGAAACTGAACATTCAATTTGGATAAGAACTCTAAATGTTATTGTTAACAAACTTTTCAAAGACATCTTATCAATGCACTACTATTTCTCTTTATCACCATTCAAAACACAATGCATGGGATGCACGTGCACAATGTAGTAGCCCCATAGATGTGCATGGGGTGTCATTCTTGATTTTGATGGTTTTCAAGACGGTCGATAAATCACTGTAGACAATTAATTTTGACAATCATCTTGCATCGCACAGTTATTAGTGTTTGTTTCTAGCCTTGTTTCTTTGTTTGAAAATGAAAATAGTACACATGTAAATTTCATGTCATACACCAACCATCTTTCAAGAGCAATTACATGTACTGTACAAACAACTATGGTCATAAGGAAGTGCAAGTGGTGATGCACTCTCAAAACATTCATTATTATCATATAAATATTGATTGATTCGATATATCTCCCAATTGTTTCAATCATAAATTAAAAATGAAGTTCCCCTACTTTCTTTTAAGAAAATATCTAGTCTCAAGGGAACAATTATGTTTAGTCTCCAACAGTCATGTCTATCTTGTGCAAACTTGTTTCCTATGATGTCTATCTCGAACAAGCTTGTTTTCTAGTATTACGTCTAGTCTTCTGCCACCTCGAACAAACTTGTTTCCTGCCACCTGTCATGTCTATTTCAAGCAAGCTTAGTTCCTCTTGTCTCCTAAAAAAGTCATGTCTATGTGGAGCAAGCTTGTTTCCTATGATGTTAATTTCTTGCCAAATGTTAATATTGTTATGTCTATCTAAACCATTTCACATGTTTTAAACATCACTGAATTACAAAAATTAATCTTAGCCCCCCCCCAAAAAAATGTGTGTTTAGGGTAACATGAAATTATAAAACAGGGTTGGTAGGGAGGGTTTATCTTCTTCTTTTTTCTTACATGTTTTTTTTAAATGCACACGCATATTTTTCATAAAATCACATATTTATGTAATATTGTGATGGGGGTCGGTCGGGAAACCGTAAACACACATATTTGGTGTGTAGGTGTGTGTGTGTGTTTGGCTTGGCTTAGTAAGACAGAAGTCTTTACTTGTATTAACATGTTGATTCCAGGCATCCGAATAACAAATCCAAAGGCTGGTTGGTTAGTTTGTTGTTAATGTCGCACTCAGCATATTTCCAGCTATATGGAGGCGGTCTGTAATCAAGCCTGGACCAGACAATCCAGTGATCAACAGCATGAGCATAAAATATCCAAAGGCTATACAGACACATTCATTGCTGTCATCAGAAAACCAACAAATAAGAAAACCTTATATAGAAAGCAACAGTTTGTGAGTGGGCAGACCATTAAATCTGTGTAATTAGCATTGATTAATTCTTTGAAACATCCTGATATGGGACTGTACAGATAAAATGTGACATTTTGTCTGTATCATGTTCAGAATCAGTAGTAACTATTAATGAAACTTATCTGAATTTAATGACGCAAACCAAAATCAGCATGATCAAATATCAAGCCCATGGGTCATCAAATGCTATTTATATGTTTGTGTGCTTCAGAAAAGCATAAATGCTCTTGTTGTAAGGATTTTATCTGGTAAATGATTAACCACTAAAATTTGTAAAATACCAAAACAATCCTGAAGTTTGACATGTCTTCTAGGATCAGGCTTTATATACTGAAGTCACATGGACAGTCCAACCCAGGTATTCCAGGTGATAAGCAAACACAATGTGTACTCTAGGCTACCTCACCATCCATTCACTGGAAAATTGACATGCTGTTATTTTCAAGTTTGATAACTGTTCAGATTATAAGACTGATACTAGCCCTCCTCCTCAAACTGTAAAGATGTAAATAGAACAGAGGTACTACAACTGTCAGTATATTAATCAAATGCTCCAAATATGTTGTCATCCAGATATGCTGGGTCTGATGAGTATCAATGATTTTGGAAAGCATACCCTTTAGTGACGTTAAAAAGGGTTACCAACACTGTCACAGCTTCTCCAAGGGAAATTGTCAGACCAATCAGGATACATCACACAGATTTAACCTGTATTGATTTTTCGTAGGCATGCAAATCATTTTGTCAGTCTGGTCATAACACTATTACTGTCAATCTTTCAAAACATACTCAGGACGTTACAATTAAAACACAAACACTGTAGTTCTGCACAAGCTAAAACACAAACAGATGAACCCAGAAAACACAATTCTCATTGTTTTCGCAAAGTAACAGTTAAAATCATCATTGATATATATACCATATATACACCCTGATGTATACTGTTATGATTTCGGATGTACGAAATTGTAGCATGAACATAATCGCAACCTTATCAAGACTGGGAATCAGAGCTTGCACCTTGCACATGGCTAGGTGCTTTGCCAGTTATCAGACTTTTTTAATTACCTTAAGATCATTCTGCAAACAATCAAGAACCATGAAGTTCTTGTCCCATAAGTTCTGACTACAATATTTCCGGACTTCTGTTCCACACTCTTCTGAATCTGATATTTTGATCTGGTATCCTTTACGTGTCGGTTTGTGCATTTGGTCCACATTTCCACGTTTTGGATTTAATTGAAAGTTTGAATTTCTTGGCACGGCATCCCCGAGCTTCTGATTCACTTGTTGTTGTTGTTTATTCACGTATGGCACTTCGTTGTTTTGTGGGTTGTTGCCAACGCCATTATTTCTTTGAGGGAATTTCGGATTTATTTTCCCGTCAAAGTTACTGTTGCTATACGGTTTTCGATTGCCACCAAAATTATTATCTACTGCAGCTCTTTTTTCCCGGTGGACATTTCCATCGTTGCTCAGACTGTCATCTATTTTTTGTCCATGAGAACACACAAATGTACTTAAAAGTAAAATTGTTAGACACAACTTTGCGACACGTCGTCCGAACGCCGCCATCTTGGTTGAATAACTACATATGAAACCAATGCGCAAGCTGATGTATGCACACCAGAAGGAAAGTTTACACGGGAAAATAAATCGTCATACTTCATTCCTAAAGCAGCCAGATAATATGCTGATCAATATTATACCCAAACATTTTCGAATGCAACCTGCTGCAAACCGCAAAATGGCATAATTGTCTTGAACTATATTTTAAGTGTAAGAATATCCGTTTGCCAGCTTACCTTCCCGGAAGTAAACAAAAATGTCAAAGTCGACTACCGTATATATTGTGCTAAGTGCTTTCTTTCTTTATATGTTGGACAGTTGGGGCTTTCTCCTAAGTCAATAAGTGTAAGAGTGTTTGCCGAATCGCGAAATGAATTATATCGTCAAACTTAATCGTCGTAATTCAGGAGATTGTTTTTAAAAATCACTTTGAGATACTGATCTCTCTCGTAATCGGGGTGCACAAACCCAGACAAACTCCAAAGAATTTATTGTGTCAAAATTAATTGTACAATTTATTTGAAAGTTCGTGTTTAAAAGTTGTTGGGGTGGGTGCACGCGCTCCACTCACCCATCGTACGATTTCTGCGTTATAAACCTGATATCGCTGTTCGGAGTTACAGTTGATCGAAAAAGGTAATCGAGTCTGAGCCAGACAATCCTCTGATCGACATCATGAGCATCTACTTATGTTATTGGGATAGGATGACAACCAATCCCGTATGTACGCACGCACGCACGCACGCACGTATGCATGCATATATGTTTATGTATGTTTGCATCTATGTATGATACGAATGCATGCATGTATATGTATGTATGTACGTATGATGCGTATATATGTAAGTGTGTGTGTCTAATATGTATGCATGCATGCATATATATGTTTGCATGTATATATGATGCGTATGTATGTATATTGGGAAATGTGGACTTCACAGTCAATACAATCGTTGGAACAGAAGAAGTCAATAAAGAGCGTGACTTTCTGGGGCGACCGTGGCAACAGTACAACGTCTCCTCGTGGATGAGGGAACGCTTTAACTCTAAACGTCGATTTTGGTCATTGCTTGCTTGCCCATGTCCTCACAGGGTCTGGGGTTGATTCATTTGCTGTCGCACTCGTTTTCCCAACTCATCCCCAAATTCTTCGATCAGGTTCAACGTGAAGGTCAGTCCATAACATCAACACCGACGTTGCGTAAAAAGTTGCTACAGTATGGGGCGTAGCGTTGTCATGTTCAATGTCAGTGTGGAGCCATGTAGGTGCATGAATAGCAGAATGACTAGGGTCACAACGTTCTCCCGATAATGCACGTCAGTAATATTGTCTGAAAGACGATCATCGAGATCGATCGTTGCACGAAATGCTCCCTGAAGAATAGAGCTGCCCCTTCTAAATAGTGACGTCACCCCTCCAGCGGCACACTCATACCTTGCCACCGGCAAAACGCAATGTGGAACCGTGACTCGTCACCGAAGACAATCATGTTCAGTGTGCATTGTTCAATCTGCAGAGAGAAAGGTCACCACATTATTTAGAAACTAGTCATGTATTATACAGTCTAAGTAAACTTAGGCTCAGTATTATTCGTTACACTGCTATACTGAGGAGTGAAACGAATAATACTGAGCCTAAGTTTACTTAGACTGTGTATTATAGGAACTGTGGAAAGTCGCGGTATAACACCCGGAAGGTAACATATATTTGACACGTGAGAGGCAGAAAAGTATAACCTTACAATTTATTATACACCACCTAAATCCAAGAGCATTTTTAAAAAAACAAACAAACCTTTCCAAACTGGCGATAATATTTCTAAAGCACGCGCTACACACATCTCAAAAGCTATGGTCGCATGTTAAGAAGGCGCAAAGCACATTGGGGTATAAAGTTCATAATTGCAGTATGTGCACTTTCGTTGTTTGAACTGATTTAAAAGACGTCCAGGGTTCAGCTTTTGAATGTATCCAATCGTATTTGTCTAATAGATCACAAGTTGTAATTTCGGTGGTGTAAACTCACAGAAGAAAGATCTACTTTATGGTGTTCCACAGGGGTCTGTTCTTGGGCCGATCCAGTTCACTATATACACGCTACCAGGGTTTGACATCGCTCGAGCACACAACCTCGAGTTTCACTTCTACGCTGATGACAGTCAGATCTATCTGGCTTTCAAACCACTAACAGTAACAATCTCTTATCAGCGAATCCAACACTGTGTAGACGACATCAAGCACTGGATGACATCAAACTTTCTTAAATTGAATGATGACAAAACAGAGTTGTAGGTCATCTGCCCTAAGCAAACCATGACAAGGATCCATCTGCCACAGTTCCAAATTGGCGAACACTCAATACCCAGGAGTTCACATGCCAGGAATCTGGGGCTTATCTTTGACTCATCCCATATCAACTGTTTGCAAGAGGTCATACCACCACATCAGAAACATTGGTATGATAAGGAGGTACCTTGATGTGGATACCACACGAGCTCTAGTCCAAGCCTACGTTACATCCAGTATAGGTTATTGTAACGGGCGTCTATAGGGCCTGCCAGAACAACTTATAAATAGGCTCCAAAAAGCACAAAATAAAGCTGCAAGAATCATCCCTAGAACAGCGAAGTGGGATCACATCAGACCAGTGCTTCAAGACCTTCACTGGCTTCCTGTCCACCACCACAGGATCCAATACAAGATCCTCGTCCTTGTTTTCAAATGTCTGAAGGGTCTTGCTCCATCATATCTGTCCAGCATGATTGAAACCAATCAACCAGTCCGTCAGTTAAGATCAGCTGAACAGAATCTACTTGCTGTGCCACGGACTAGGACAAAGATGTTTGGAGATAGATCTTTGGTAAAGCAGGTCCAGTTCTCTGGAACAGATTACCTCATCACCTGATATTAGAACAACAGCTTTCCACTTTCAAGGCCCAGCTAAAGACTCGCTTACACAGAGTAGTTCTATACGATCACACAGATCTCGTCTGTCGTAACCTACTGTCAACAGCGACACAACTTCCTGTTCCTTCTGGGTGAAACTCACGCTGATGTCCATGTGTCACATATTATAGGTGTGTGGGTGACGTCATAAAGTGTGACGTCACGACTTTGTGGGTAGGATGACGTGGGTGCGAGAAATAAAAGATGGCGAACTACACCAACACTTTGCTTGTCTGTGATCGCAAAAAACACGGGCGTGCAACAAGGCCAGAAATCCCCCCAACATGTTACACGTTTGTAGGGCGTCGATCCTCCATGGTGGAGATGCAGAGGTAAATGTTACACTCGGAAAGGTCGTTTCAAATGTGAACATTCTCGTCATTGTATCGTGACCTTTGCTGTCCTTGGCATTCGGCGTGTCTCAATCCTGTGACTGTTTCAACCAAATCTACAGCGATTTGGATTCGTGATACAAAATGTCTATCATCACTATTTTCTAACATCTGGAAAACTACCCAGTTTCAAGAGCTGAATTAATACTTGGCAGGGGCGGATACAGCTTTTTGAGAAGGGGTGGGGGTGGGTGTGCACACACTATTGAGAAATGGAGGGTGCACACTTCATTTTCACCCGAGTTTCAATGGCCATTTAATAAACTTTCATTACAAAGGGGGTTGCGCACCCCTGCACACACACACACACACACACACACACACTGGATCCGCCTATGCTTAGGCCCTAAATCGGCTGCATTACCGACGGCAATATATAGCTGTGAATCTAACTTTCTAGGAATTTCTGTAACGGTGATTTAACATCCCATGCTGGTCACCACAACTAACAGCTCACCTTGTACCACGTGCACCCTGTCAAATATTTCTGAGAAACAGCTATTTATCACCGTATGGTCTTGTGTAGATGTCCGACAGAAAAGAAGCTGGACACCTATCATGCAGTCACCAGGCAGCCCTCAATTCAGCCAAAATGGGAGAGGTTTATGATTACCGTCCTGATACAACAATCTTCCCAAAGTTTCCAACTAGCCTCAATAAACATCCAGGAAATGCAGGTGATAGAACCCAGGCTATGATTTTTCAGCCATCCCTACCATTTGTTGCTTCAGTTCGAAGATCAGAAATGGATACATTAAGGGAAAGAATACAGAAGCTGTCTCAGACTGTACATGAACTTCAAATATTCATATATTTTTTTAGTACACAATCACAACGAAACTCGGCTCATCGCTGTCGTGTATGGACATGTCGTAACGAGGCATATCACTATAGTCTGTTTGCAGTGAAAACGTACCGATGAATATCAATTTAAACAAAAAAGTAAATCGAATAAAATGAAATTAAGATTGCGAATCCTCATATTTTCACCTTGCCAACTGAACATTTAAATCTCAGAATTTTATTCAACTTAGGATAAAGATGTTTAACAAACGATCATAGTTTCAAATCGCTACTATTGGTTTGTATTACAAGGGGGTGAACACATTAAATGAAACCCCGAGAACAAGTAGAGTTGGCTAAGTTAACGCTCATCACGTACCGCACGTGCATTTGTTTCACTGTTCCATCTACTGCGCTTACCCCCTTGTAATACAAACCAATAATAGTGATTTGAATGTTTGATCGTATGTTAAACAACTTTTATCCTAAGGTGAGTAAATTTCTGAGATTTAGATGTTCAGTTGGCAAGGTAAAATTATGAGGATTCGCAATCTTAATTTCACTCTATTTGATTTACTTTTTTGTTTAAAGTGAAATTCATCGGTACGTTTTCACTGCAAACAGACTTTTTATAGGAGATGATCCATTCAGCTGAAACTTTTTGTGGTGGTTCATTCATGGCGTGGGGTTGCATTTTGTATGACTGCAATTTGCATATCATTACAGTACCTGGGACACTCAATGGTCAAAGTTGTCAATCGCAAGTACTGGATGCCGCTTTCGTACAACACTTTGATAAACCATCCCTTTGACACTCGCCCGATATGGGATGGATGGCAACGCTAGACCTCGAGCCGTCATCGCCTATTTGCAGAACAACACCATCGAAACATTACCATGGT